CGGCAATATTGGCTCAGTGATTGTAACCCACAGACCACAGAAACGCAAGATGTTAATAATAAGGGAGGAACCCTCCGTATGATCCACTCGATTTTTCTATGAACCTAAAACTGCTCCCCCCCAAAAAATGTCTATTAATTTTTTAAAAGGCTATGGAGGCAGCTTTAAAATTTTGAATGTGGGCTCTGCCTTCAGTAAGGGAATTTCATCCACACTGGGTTTTGTCTACACCGAGTATGTGAACTGGGAGAAGTAAAGAGAGAGGCACCCACGAGAGTGAGAAGAACAGGAGCGGCTGTGGGCGGGGAGCGCGGTCACCAACCCGGCTGCCCAGAGGCCAGAGACACGCTCACTGGGCGTCATGAGGCAGTAGCTCCTGTTACGTGGCTGGGGTGAATTTCAGAGGAGCGGGGGTGCTCAGGGCAGGGGTGCTGGGTGATGGGAAGATGAGCACAGAGAGCTTGCCTGGATTTCTGAAGTCAAAGACAGGTTTCAGAAACTTGATGTCAGAAGAGTTTGCATGGACTATGGACTCTCTCTCTCTCTCTCTCTTTTTTTTAATTTTATTTCTTTATTTGACAGAGAATGAGAGAGAGACAGCACAAGCAGGCAGAGGGAGAAGCAGGCTCCCTGCCGAGCAGGGAGTCTGACGCAGAACTCGATCCCAGGACCCCGGGATCACGACCTGAGCTGAAGGCTGATGTTAACTGACTGAGCCACCCGGGCGCCCTGCGTGGACTCTTTCATATGCAGGCAGTAGCCAGTCGCTTCTGGGCTCGGGGGACAGACAGGCAGACAGGGCCCTGGTATAACACAGCACACAGGTTGAGGCCCATCCCGGGCTGTCTCCTTTTCAGGGTCAGAGACTGCAGATCCCCAGCAAAGCCCAGCCCCTTGGCCAAACTTAGCCCCCAAAGCGACACAGTGAATCACAGGGCGACCAAGTCAAGTCTGCCCCCACGCCGATCGGGCCTGCTCTCACGGATGGAGAAGGTGCCAAGAGGCCGCGCTGCTCCCACTAAAAGGAGAAGGTGTTTGTGAGCAGCAAAGGCCAGGCAGGTGAGCATTCCGGCGTGGTACCTGGCACGCAGCAGAGATTTTTTTTTTTTAAATCACAGTTATCACGAAAGACGCTTAACCATCTAACGTGGGAAACTCACTAAGGCTTCCTGAGACTCCGCAACAGAGTATTTCGTCTCATCTGGGATGCCTGTTGTGAGGTGTGTCATTATTAATATCACAAACCGCTCAGAAAGGACACAACCAGCCGAGGTGGAGCCTCTGACCGGAGACTCCTCACAAAGCTGGGGTACCTGGGGGCTGTGCCTTCTGCGCCAGGGGAAATGGAAAGGGAAAAACGAGGAGATATGAGGTATCATCTTGGTGCTGCGTGAAGCGAGGGGGATTCCTCTTCTCTGCGAATGTGAACTGCAGCCTGGAGCTCCCAGAGGCTGGGCGTTTGCATTTACACAAGCAGCGTGAGCCAAGGGAACACAAAACAGAATGCCACCCGCAAGCAAAGATTTTCAAGCCCAAATCCTCGCCGAAAGGAGTAATCATAATAAGCCACCCAATAGTCCAGAAACATGAAAATGTGAAAAATCACGAGCCTTAAGACCTACGAGATATGATCAAATAAATAGGATGCTGCTTTGGGTCGCTCCACGTCTGGGGCGACATCCCCAGAGCTCCCAGCATGCAAGGAAGGTGTTTGCTCTCCGCTCCCGCAAACTGGCACACTTGGCCCTGCCCCACTTCACCCGGGCAAACAGAAACACTGGCAAATCTGTTCTTCAACTCAAAGTTTGCCTCAAGAAGGACTGCACCACCTCCCCGGGGCCAAGGCAGGGATTCAGCTGACTCACGGCCCAATTGCAATTTAAAAAGCAATTACATTTCATGTGCCTGAATGCTGCAGGCCTGTGTATCCGGTGCCATGGAGCTGGCAAGTGTGGAGGCAGCTGCAAATTTAATAAATCTTAATTATCGTGTTTATACAAACAAGTAGGCTGAAGCCATTGACGTCGTTGGAGCTTTCGATGACTTGGTGCACGGAGAGAAAAAAAAAGTGTGGAGAACCAACTGCTCATAAATAATTAGCTTTGGGGCAGTTTTTTTTTCCCTTTCCTTTTGGACTAAAAATCACATATGAAATGTTTTTAAGCTGGCAAGATTACAAGGCCTGAAGACGGAGTCTATATTTTGCCTGTTAGGCCTGCGTGCGTGTGAGCACGCGTGCTTGTGTGCACATAGGTGAATGCACATACGTTGAGCAGCAAAAACCACACGAGGGAGGTGCCCTCCCACCCCCTAGAAGTATCATTGCTGCCTTTGTTCTCATTAAGATAAGCAGGGGCAGGGTTACAGAAGTCTTACATGGCGATTATGAATCCGCTGTGTTCAGGCTGTTACAAGAACTCTGCCTACTGTTAGCTCAGTGGACCCTGTTTCTGTTGATCAGAAAACTGTGGCCGAGTGACTCATCAACAGTCACACCCGCTAATGGTGGATCCTAGATTCAAATCCAGTTCGCCAAGCCGTGGTTCTCAGAGTGTGGTCCCAGGCCAGCAGTAGCAGTGTCACCTGGGACCCTACTAGAAATGCAGGTTCTTGGGCCACCTTAGACCCAATGAATCAAAAACTCAGGGTGGGACCCAGAAATCTGTGCTTACTTGGTCACATAAGTGAGCCCAAGATGACCTCTTGCACATCGGTTTGCAGGCTGCTTACCTCTTCACAGAGGGCTTCACAGAAGCCAGCCTGCCAGCACCAAACTCAAATTTTCACACATCCAATTATTTTAAACATAGCCTGAATAAGCCTATTCTTTAGCCACGTAGAGCCTCCTTGCTTTGCATGCCCTACAAAAGTGTGCCCAACATCTGCCCCTATAAAGACCCCAATCCACTGCTGCCCTTTGGAACACCTGCCCCAGAGATGGGCCACTACGCAGAGCACCACAGTCTGGACCTGCAAGCCCTTCCTCCTAGGTACCCTCACCCAGCCAGGACGGGTCGTCCACCAGGGCAGGTCTCTGCTCTCATGCTCACTGGTGGATCCCAAGTGCCCAAATCAGTGCTTGGCACAAAATCAGTGCTCAGGAAATCCTTGTGAAATGAATGAATGAATGAATGAATGAATGAATGAATGAGAGACAACAAATGAACACAGGGCTGTGGATACTCCACATTAAGCCAATCACAGGCTGCCAGGAAACTGAGCCTGTTCTGGAGGCCTGGTGTCCACAACCACGTGTCCCCCCTACTCAGAGGCATTCAGTAAGCACTTACTGTGTGCAATGCATCAGGGGACCCAGACAGGACTCCCATGGATTGTGCCTGGGAGCTCCAGATCAGATGGGGGCTCCCCAGTGAGGGCCTTAAGGTGTGGAGGCCTCCAGGAGCCACGAGGCTGCACTGTGTGAGCCCCCCCATCCTTCCTGATGCTCTTGTCCATTTCTTGAGGAGACTCTCTGTTATTCCAAATGGAGGGGGCAGGGAGGAGACCAGGACTTTGGTCTCTCTGAAGAATTCTACAAACAACAGTTCACACCACCTACAGAATTCATTCATGAAGTCAGTAACGGCAGCGTTGATAATTCCATTTCACAGGTGGGGAAAGTAAGCCCCAAGAGGCAAAGCAACTTGCCCAAAGCCATAAAGTTAGATGATGCGCTAGGCCCAAAGCACGGCATTGGTCTTGCGACTGCCCCACGCAGTCCAGGGGACACCCACTCTCTTGCATGTGGGAGACATGAACAGCAGCTGGGGTGGGGGGTTCCTGGGTGGCTCAGTGGTTGAGCATCTGCTTTCAGCTCAGGGCATGATCCTGGGGTCCTAGGATCAAGTCCTGCATTGGGTTCCCTGCAGGGAGCCTGTTTCTCCCTCTGCCTGTGTCTCTGTCTCTCTCTGTGTCTCTCATGAATAAATAAATAAAATCCTAAAAAAATTAAAAAAAAAAAAAAAACAGCAGCCGAGACCAAGAAGAAATCCTCAAAGCACCTGGAAACAGATGCCATGGCATTAAGGATCTTGAGGAACCCAGAGCTCTTTGGAGCAGAGCGTACTGAAGGCTCCCTTCATTATGGGCCAGTGCTCGGCAGAAAAACCAGTGTGTTCCCTTGGAAAAGGTGACGTCAATTTACACTGGGTTTTCCCTGAAGTGGGGACACCCACCAGGGATGCGGTCTCCAAAGCACAGTGTGGAAAGTCAAGATGTGGGCTTTGGAGGCCGAGGCCAGAGACCACCCAGAAGCTGCACGCCTGCGCTGAACGAACCATTCCAATCCTGTCATGCCTCAGTTTCCCTATGCTCAAGTGGAGGGAATAATGCCTCTTGGAGTGTTGATGGGACGGTTACATGAGATGCCCTAACCACGACTCAGCACAATTCCTGGCACACAGTGGACAGTCACCACGTAGCATCTAGAGTAACAGTAATTGTTCCTCGTTATGATTATTATTATTACTGCTGCTACTGTGACTGCTTCGGCCTGCAAGCACACGGGAGGGGCTCTGAGCACTTCTTGGCGGGCCTACATGGAAACACCTGCTGGTGGAACAGGACAGGCACAGCCATGCCTGCTCTTTTGTCCTCCACTGAGCCCCGTATGCCCACCCACTGCTCAGTGGCCACACGATCCAGGGTGCCTGGAATGGTCTGGGTTTCCTGAGACAGTCCGGGTTTATACCTGTTGTCACAACATAACTATCACTACTGTCCTGGTCCATTCCCACCACATCCTGGTTTTGCCTGAAAAACTCTAGGGTCCCTCTTCTACCACGGGGGTGTCACAGCTGAGTACATTCTGCATGTTCCTGGGGCTTCCTAAGGACCCTGGGCTCCCAGCACAGAGTAGCCCAGAGCTCATTCCCTAGAAATGTTCCTCGGGCCTCATGGAACCTTCCAGAAAGCCCAGGAGTTCGGCTTCAGCATCGCAGGCCCACCAACCTCCAGACGCCCTGCCCTCTAGCGTGTGGAACAGATGGCAGACACCGTACCTTTTGGAATCCGGCCGGCTCCCCTGGAGAACTCTGTGTCTGTTATTTTCGGGAAGGAGAGGAAAAGGGGAAAAAAGACGTTAAGTGAGTGAAACTCAAATCCCAACAGAGCCTGTAATGGAATATTCGTTCTGTCAGGGGAATGTTTCTTTAAAACTTCTGGTCATCTGGATAGGCTGAACCAGCAGGTGATTCGATTTAATGAGCTTTTTAACGCACTGCAGGCCCAGGTGGGATTCCAGTCTGGGAAGGCCTGGGCCGGGGCCACCTGGCCGGGGCTGCGCTGACACCTAGTGGCCAGTACGGCTGCTGCGGGGACCGCTGAGCTGGCTTGGACGCTAGGCATCTGGGGTCTGAGGGCCCAAGGGGCCCTTGGAGGCCATCTCAAACAGCCCCCCATCTCGAGCTAACCCTTGAGCCTCAGTTTCCCCCATTGCTTCTTAGGGAATAACAAGAGGACCTCCTTTATAGGGTTCTTATGAGGACATCGCATATCGCAAAGCTTCTCATGGCTATTGCTATTGTTTTGCTTGGGGCGGACACGGGGACACAAAAGGGGAAGACACTTGTTCTGCATCTAGAGCAAACGAGTGGAGGAGCAGGGCTGGACCCCAGGGCCCCAGGCCCCGGGGGAGCACTCTCCTCTATCGCGCCTTCCACAGCGGGGCGTGCTCAGTGCTGGCTCTACTCCGTGACCCCAGGAGTTGGGATTCTCAGAGTCTCGGCTCTCCCTTTAGAGACTGGAGATGGTGACTCTGCCGTAAGGACTGAACGAGGTCCTGAAGGTTTCAGCTTGCTAGATGGCGAAGTGCTCCCCGAACATTAACATGATGGCTACTGCCGTCACTCCTGGAGCATCGGCCACAAGGGGTGGCAGGATGGCCACATGACACCTCACAAGCCAAGCACCTAGGACCTGTGAGCCTCTGTCGCCTCTCTTGGAGTGGTCACCTCAGTCTGGTGAGTGGAGGCACAGGGCAGAGTGCGTGTGGCCCAGCGAAGTCTCCCCAGATGAGCCCAGGCTCAGCCAGAGTCCCAACCCTGGAGCCCAGGACCTGGGCTTCCTCAGCACCTACCAGCAGGTAGCCAGAGTCCTTGAGTTTGGACTTGTACAGCATCCACCGGTAACGCAGGTCTTCCAGTTCGTCTGAGGTCCCACTTGCTGGCCCGTGATGAAGGAGGTCCTCGAAGAGTTGCTGACCTTCTGGTACCCGAGTCTCCAGCTCCTGTGGGGAAAAGGCACAGCTCCACCGCTGACCTCCACGGTCACTCCGTTTCTGACGTTCTAGAACCAAGTCCTCCGAAGGGCTTGACATAAGAGTTGCCATCATTATAAAAGCTACCATTGATGAACATGCTTTTCTGTTGGCATGTTTAAGCCTGACAGAGTGCTATTGGGATTGGACAGATGTTTCTACCCAAATATAGTACATGTCACCCCAGGATGGCACCTTTCATCATCAGGAGTCCCAAGGGGTAGTGATGTGGGGTTATGAGTGGAGCTCTTACTGAGCATGTGGGTCTGAATTCTGGCTTTGTAGCCTACTTTCACCCCATCCTACTCATAATATGATATGGGCAGTTTGCTTAGCTTCACAGAACCCACTAGAATGTGAGCTCTACAAGAGTAAAGGAGCTTAACCTGGGGCAATTGCAAGTCACCTCTGATATGGTTGGAGTTGGCGGTGGTGGCAAGAAGTGAGCTGTGGCCGAATGTGAGGTAGGAGGTATGTAGGGAGGACCTTCTGGTCATAGTCCCCTAGGTAATTGGACCAAACCTGTCACTGAGGACAAAGTATTAAAAACACTTAAAGGGCATCAAAGAGCAAGAGAGAGAGGCACCTCAGACTAAAATCCAGGAAAGGAAGTAAAGCCAGTGTTCAGGCCTGCTATTGCCAATCTGGAAGAAACAGTTGTGCAACAGATCATGCTTTTGCCAGCCCCACAGGGCTATGGAGACAAAGGTCAAGGTCTGGGCTCTGCAGAGGTGGAGACTCTCATAACCCACTTCCCCTGTGGCTGAGACTCTTAAAGGTGAATCAGAAATAAGCTCACACCCTATGTGCACTGCAGTCCAGCTCCAAGTCATCAGGGGTGCTGGGAGCCTTCAACTCTGAACTTGGATCCGCTGGTTTCAGAACAATAAAGGCCTCCTTGCCTGGCAGCCACAAACAAAATCCTCTCTGGAGAAGAGATGATCCTTAATCTCAAATTAACCCTATATCTAGTTTGTCAAACACAATGCCTGGCACACAATCAAAAGCAGCTCCAAACAAGCAAGACTCCAACAACAAGAACAGGCAGAAATAACACACAGAAGAAATGCTCCTAAAATGACTCAAACTATTAGAATTATTACACACACTCAGTAGAACAGCTCTGTTTACCGTGCTTGAAGAATTAAAAGCCAGGCTTAAAAAGTTCAGTAGGGAACTGGAAGCTACACAAAATAACACAGTGGTATTTCAAGAAAATTGGGTAGAAATTTTAGAACTGGGGAATACAGTATCAAAAGTTAAAGGCGTAACAGACGCATGTAATAGTGAATGAGACACAGCTACAGAGAGAATTAGTAAACTGGAAGGTACAGTAGAAAATGCCAACAATCTATGTAAAAAAAAATGTATTACATATAAATTTCAGCTTACCATTTGTTAATGAACTGGAAGACATTTTTCAGTTCAAGAATGGTAATTTTCAATTATATGAAAAATATGACATATAAGAGTGCATGTTCTCTCATTTAAATTATACTATTGGCATTTACTCACATAAACATGAACATCTAGAAAACATACACAAAAAAGGGCTAAGTCATTTAATCCAAAAGAAACAAAAGGGATAATCTTTTATTTTTTTAAAAAATCCAATATAAATAAATACAGATTAAAATTGACACAATAGCTTCCCACTGACGAAAACTATAGGTAGCACTGTAGTTCTGATAGAGGTTTGGGTATTTTCCTTAAGCCCGAACTCAGTTATAGACTGGTGTATTGAAGAAATATTACCTAGCTTTATAAAACTTATGGAAAAAAGGACTAAGAAAGATGATTTACGCATAATGCTTACCATTCCCTAGAGTCTTATTTATGGTCTCTTTTTCATGAGAATTAATTCAGAAAAAATGTATCTGTCATTACCAATTTATCTACATCATCATGCCTCTCATCATTTTGCTTTGGCTAACAAAATCTCCCTAAAGGAATATATACTGGAATATGCATTTTATGCAATTAGGAATACAGTGAAGTGCTAAAACGATATTTAAAATATAACAGGGTAGTTTGCAAATACTATGTTGAAATTGTGTAGACAAATTTTGTTTTGCCAAACATTGAATGGACTGGGAGTGACTTTGGGATCAGAGAAACAAAAATATTTGAACTTCTTTTAATTGTAGCAAAAAAAATAGTTGATAAAAAAATATATAACAAGGTAAAAAAATCGTAGCCTTATAAGTACATGTCTAATTTAATAAACCTTTTCTTTGAAATAATATTTTAATAAAAAGAAAAAAAAAAGAAAATGCCAACGGGAAGAGACCAGAGGACTAACAAGACACAAGAGAAAGTAGGAGACATAGAGCCCACAGGGAGAAAGAATATCACGTTTAAGCAGCATCATGGAAGGAGAGGAGAGGGGGGACAAGGAAGAGGGAATAGGAAAGAGACAATATCAGAGAATTTTCCCGAAAGACTCTAGACCACACATTCCAGAATTCAGATGAATCCCAAATAAGAGAAATGAAAAGAAATCTAAACCCTAACATTTCATAGTAAAACTGTAGAGAAATAAGAAAAAAAGGGAGGTAAGCTGAGGCCTGGTTGAGAATGGCCTCATGTAATATGCTCAGGTTTGGGGGCCGGGGGTTGGACTCTATCCTGAAAGGTTTTATCAGGGGAAGGACAGAGTCAGGTTTATGATGCTGAAGGGCACTCTGGCTGCAGAGTGAACAGTGACCTGGATGAGAGCCCAACAGGAAGAAAGGAGGCCAGCTGGAGCTGATTGCCATAATCAAGGTCAGAAATGGTTAAGTATCTAGATTAATAGTGGTAGCAAGAGGGCACAGAACAAAAACATCCCAGAGGTGGCATTCAGGAGGGCTGGAGGACCAATTAGATGTGGGAGTGAAGGAGGAAGAAGAGTTGGGGTAGAAGGATTGCAAAAATGGCCACAATGCCCCCATCCCGCCTCTCCCCTCCCATATATATGCCCTTTGCAATATGACCTTGAGTCCTTCCCATAAAGAGGTGGAGTCTGTTTTCCCTCCCTGTGAATCTGGCTTGGCCTTGTGATCTTCTTTGTCCAACAGAATACAGGGGAAGTAATGTGCCAGTTCATCCTCTAGGCCTCAGAAGCCTTGAGCTGCCCCACAAGACAATGAGAGATGTGTGGTCCATCTCATGCCCATCCCCAGCAGCCCGCCAACTCCCAGAAGTAGAGCCCACCCAGCCGACCTATAACTGATGGCAAATCAGGGAGCCCAGCCAAGACCAGAAGCATTGCCCACACGGGCTCAGCCTAAACTGGCAACCCTCAGAATCATGAATTAAATAAACATGTGCTGTGTGAAGCCACCAACTGTTGTAATGGTTTGTTACGCAGCAATAGCTAGCTGGTATCAGAGCGGCCGTTAGTAGTGATATGTTTCAAGTTGGGGAATACAGAAGTAGGCTCGATGAATGAATGGTTCTTCTAAAGCTTTTCTAAAATATGTGAACCAAAAAAGTTTAAGAGCTATTATTTAGGGGCAGCTGGGTGGCTCCGAGGTTGAGCGTCTGCCTTTGGCTTGGGGCCTGATCCCGGAGACCCGGGATCGATTCCCACATCGGGCTCCCTGCGAGGAGCCTGCTTCTCCCTCTACCTGTGTCTCTGCCTCCCTCTGTGTGTCTCTTATGAATACATAAATAACATCTTTTAAAAAAAGGAACTATTATTTATACACACGGGAAAATGGCTCATAAGCCACGTGTGTGATTGTTTTTTTTTTTTTGTTTGTTTGTTTGTTTTATTTTTGTTTTTTTTTTTTTAAGAACTCTCTGGTAGCAAACATAACCCGGGAGGCAAACTGTGGAAGAAGGGCCTTTCTGTGGGAACATACCCGTAGCTTCGTTTCCCTGGTCTTCAGATCCTTGGCTGTGGCCATTCTCATTGCGATGATTCTAACCAGCTTAGTGTTTTCCACCTCCAGCCACTGCTCAAAGTTCCTCAGGAGCCGGGAGAAACCTTCAGGGCCGCCCTCTCCCTGGAGCAGATTCCCCTGCAGACACGCACAGCAGGACCAACGCATCAGAGGTGAAAACAGCCTACTGGCCCCACGGCCCCGCGTCCTGGGGTCCTGCGGTGACGCAGGGAGCCCAGGATGCTCAAAGGAGGTGCGAGAGGCCTGGGGGGAGGAGGCTCGTCTCTCCATTCAGTGTGGCCACGTTAGGAGTTGCATTCTGATTTGGCTCTGGGGGTCCTGTGGGGTTGGGGTGGTCCAGGGTCTCTGCCTCAGCCCATACTCAGGGCCCCCGGGGCTGTGCCGCAGGACACAGGTGCCAGCAGACACGCAGGGACACTGTGCTTTCAGCCCCAAGCTGCAGGAGCTGCGACTAGGGATCATCGCGGTCACCTGCTGGTCTCCTGGGGGCAGCCACCCCCATTCCTAACCGGGATGGCTATAACGGTGGTCACCCTTCTGCTCTGCGTGTCCCCCACCCCCGGGCTCTGTGGCCAGAATGAGCTGTCCAAAATGCAGGGCCGTTCAGCTGAGTCCTCGGTGTGGTCGGAGGGCCCAGATTCCGGCCCTGCCTCACCCCAAGCCTGAGCCGCAGACAAGCCTTGGCCCCTGGCGCTCGTGTGGTCTCCCTCTGCGTCTCTGCACACTCGCTGTCTCCTCTGCACGGCACACAGCCCTCCTCCCTTCTCCTTGACTTCTGCTCTGCCACGACGATTGCCCTGACCGTTGGTTTTGTCCCAGGAGGACTTTGCTGGCCCAGAACTGGGTCCCGATCCCTCCGCAGCCGCTCCTACGGCGTCTGCCCCTCTGCCCTTGCCCACCGCGCTCTCTGCGGACCCTCGCTTCACTGCCTGTGGTTCCTACTTCCTCGCTCCTCACAGCGTGGGCCGCATGGGCACCACCGTGAGCTCCGGGAAATGCAGAGTCCTGGGCCCTGCCGAAGCAGAATCTGCATTTTCCTGCACCTGGGGCGCCCTGCAGTGTGAAAGGCTCTGCGCTGGAGTGCAAGTTCCTGCGGGTTCGAAGCGCTTCCGCTCCACTCACAGCTGTACCCCGGCCCTGAGCGCAGATCTCAGAGCACAGCGACCCTGGCCGGTGATTTGGGGTAATAGAAGAATAAGGGGCAGGATGAGAGCCGGCGTGTGGTTTTTGAAGCACGAGAAAGGAACATCTTTTCATTGTGGTTCCTTTCTTTAAAAGCCATCAGGAAGAGGGAGGGACACAAGGCGTATTTGAACAAAATACAGCTTATGGCATAAAAAAAAAAAAATGTACCCACCCTGCAAGATTTCAGTTTGCAATCTGGGGCCAGCTGGAAGCTCTCACCCTGCGGGACCACCTGCTACTGTTTCTGAGGGGTGAGGGCCTGTCCACCCAAGGGACGCCCCGACCTTCCCCATGGCTGGGGCTGGGGTCTCTGTGGCCCTCTGCGCAGTGATACAAGGAACAGGGGCAGGTTCACCCGGGAGGGGACGCGGCCGCTGAGTCCTGAGCTGTGTGTGTGGCCCCAGGCAGGGAGGGAGGCTTTGCTGAAGACCACCCCCCGTCACTGACGCGGGCCCCGGTCTCCCCCTGGAAGCCCCCCCAGGTAGACGCACCTGACGGGGATGCCTGGAAACAGGATTCGTGGGATCGATGACAAACCCGGCCTTTGGGATGTTGTTGGTGAAAATCATCTTCTTCCCCGAATCCACTTCCGTCCTCTGCAGCTGCTGGTTTCTGATGAGGCTGAAGAGACAAACGGCCCAGGCCCCGCGGTGATGTGATGGGGACTCGTCAGGTCACAGAGGTAACAGAACTGGGGCATCACGGGGTAGGAGTCAATCCTTTGGGTTTGCTAGAACGTTCCCTGGGCACATATATTTCCAGCTTCCTACTTGAGACCTACGTGACCCTGTCATTAAAGTGCATGTACCCATTGATGCGGGGAGGGCTGCAGGCTAATCCCCAAGTGGGACACTTCCCTGCTCCTACTGCTCCTGCTAGAATCAGCCTTGGGCCAGACCGGAGACGCACGGAGGCGCCTGGTACCGCGCTTGGCACACAGCAGAACGCCAGGCACCTGTTCCACGGGGACCGCTGAGCTATCCTCTGGATGGAAAGGGCTGTCACCGGAGAGCAGGCTCAGAGCCAGGGACCCTCACCTCAGCAGGCTTTCCTCCAGCAGCCTCAGGGCCTGCCACGATGCCGCCAGTTCCTTCAGCTCCTCCTGGACCACAGCGGCCCCTTCTGGAGAAGACTTCTTCATCACCAGCTGGCCGTGGGCTTCCACCAGGGGCAGCTGGGCCTCCTTCTCCGGGAATTCAGCCAGCAGCCTCTAAAGGACACACATGTGTGCACACACGCACACACACAGTGAGCTCTCGGGGCAGGGGTCTCTGCTCCCCAGTACGGCATCTTTGGCCTCCCAAGCCTGCTTTCTGAGCTGCAAGTGAGCTGCAACCGGCATCTCCCTGGGGAAAGACACCTTACCTCGACTTGCACCTCTCGGGATTGGGCGTCCCACGGGCCTGCCTCCTCCTGGTGTGACTCTAGCTTCTGGGTGACCCTGGTGATCCACTGCTGCAGCTCCAGCAGCTCGTGGCTGAAGACACAATGTTCCTGCACGCTCTGCTGGCACCTGTCCGTGAGGTCCTGTAGCACAGCCCCCGGGGCAGCACCCTGAGTGCTGTGGGCACCACTCCATCCTGCAGGACCCCCGGACCTGCCCCGGGGCAAGCTGTGCCCCATGGCCCCCCACCCAGCAGGAACACAAGAGGCTAGTCCTCTTCTGCACAGTACAGGGAATTTATTCTGGAAAGACCAGCTCTGGTGGAAAGTATCTCTGAGCCTGTCTTATCTTTTATAGACAGTTCCCTGCCTGGATGAGGGTGTGGGCCACCGGAGCCCCTGTCCACCACTGCTGTGAGAATAAATCATACACCTTTTGGGAAAACCATAGGTCAGTATCTACTAAAACTGAGCACAGACATCCCTCTGACACAACCATTTCACCTCTGAGTGTATACGTAACAGACACAAACATACTGTCACCCAAGGGCATGCGTGTGGTGCTGCTCATAATAGCCCCAAACTGGAAACTACCCAAGTGCCCGTCAACAGAAGTATGGATAAATACGCTGACGTATATTCAGACAATGGAATATTTTACAGCAGCAAGAACGAGCAATCTATGCAGTAATCTAATACAACATTATGAATGACTTTCCAGCCAACATGTGGACAGCTAGAAGCCAGACACAAAAGAAAACATTAAAATAACGTATAAAATCAGGCAAACCCAATGCATGGTGTTCCACGTTGAAAGTCAGGGTTACTTTCAGGGACCAGGAGTGGTGGGCAGTGATTGCCGGGGGCAGGAGGGGCTCTGGGGGCCTGGGGGAGCCAGCAGTATTCTGTGTCATGATCCGGGTGCCGGTAATGCGGACGGGTTCATTTATTTAAAATCCATCAAATTGCCCACTTAGATGTTTGCTTTTTCTGTATAAGTTTATACGTTGACAGTGTTTGAAAATGGTCTTGCTTTTTTTTCCCCCTCTCCTCTGGGTCAGCCACTCAGCTCTCTGAGGCTGGGGCCTATCTTCTTCTCTGTATTCAGGAAAGGAGGGCGCCTGTCCTCCTGGTCACCCAACCTGGGGCCCTCCGAGGCCTCCCTCTCAGCCCACCGCAGACCAGACCTCAGGGGCTCTCTGTGATCCCTCCCCAGGCCACCACAGGCCCTGCCCTCCTGCATTCCAGACACTGGCTGACACCACTGGACGCCAGGCCCACTAGAGCTGGAGACACAGAGACGGTGCGTCCCATCTTTCTGCAACAAACCAGGGATGGGGGGATCCCTGGGTGGCGCAGCGATTTAGCGCCTGCCTTTGGCCCAGGGCGCGATCCTGGAGACCCGGGATCGAATCCCACATTGGGCTCCTGGTGCATGGAGCCTGCCTCTCCCTCTGCCTATGTCTCTGCCTCTCTTTCTCTCTCTGTGTGTGTGTGACTATCATAAAAAAAAAAAAAAAAAAAAAAAACAAACAAAAAAAAAAAAAAACCAGGGATGGGAGCCTCAGCAATTGCCTAAGACTCCACTTCTCCGCACTCTCGCTACCACCACCCCTCCTGTCCTGTGTGCCTTCAATGGCCTTGGGTTGCATAGTGGGGTATGTGCCACCCCCCCAGGGGGAGACAGGAGGATCGCCTGGGCTGTGGGAGGACTTATTAGAATTTCTTAGATTTAAAAAGCCCTAAGTACCGCAGTAATAAAAGGAGGGGCAATACTTCTTTGAAGAAATATATATTTATGTTCATGTTCTGTCTCCCGTTCTGAACATGAAAGACTCCTAACTCTGGGAAACGAACTAGGGGTGGTGGGAGGGGAGGTGGGCGGGGGGTGGGGGTGACTGGGTGGCGGGCACTGAGGTGGGCACTTGATGGGATGAGCACTGGGTGTTATTCTGTGTGTTGGCAAATTGAACACCAATAAAAAATGAATTTATTAAAAAAGGAAATATATATTTAGACAATAAATGAAGAGGCACGAGAGAATTTGAATATCAACATCCCGCAACTGCTAATCATGCTCAGTTAATGCTGCTTCTACTTATTATCACGATCGATCTCATGCATCATTTGATGCAGGCATTAAAGCTGATGTTTGGTGTTTCTCTGGGCTCCATGGGCTCCCACGCAGCAGGGACAGTGATTCTTATTTCTCTAGGCACCCACCTTGACCCTGAGACCGCTAGTGGCTAATTTATTAAGGGGAGTTAAATCAGTTCATCTAGACCTGATGCCTCACTTAGACCAACGGGCTTGTGCAGGTGGAGCTGCTGTGGTTGCTGTGACGATGATGGCGCAGGGGTGACACCTGCAGATACAGTGAGAGGCGCAGGTGCTGCCTCCGGCGGGAGGTCCCCCCCCATGGCCGACAAGGTTTCCCAGAGCCCTACGGGTATCCACGGTGCTGAAACCCCTGCTGATCGTGACCCCAGCTCAGAGACGTTCCCCGGCTCAAGGACAAACATAGAGGTTTTCTGCAGTTCTAATAAACACACTGATCTTCCCAGGAACATCTCTACTCCGTCAACGGATGGAAGGCTGTGCTTTGGTTTCATTGAAACTTCACCAAAGATTGTTCACATTTCAAAAAATTGCATAAAACAGGGGCATTTGTGGCTGTCACCCAGAGGGGGCGCGTCTTCCCTGTGGCTGCTTTCAGAACTCACGTGTTGAAAGACAGCACTTTATTTTATTCTATTTTTCACATTACAAACCAGCCAGTTTATTATTTTGTCGTAAGTCGGGTAACTTTTCACCAAGCAGACTGGTGTGCCTGCACCAGCATGAGCGGTGCGTGCTCTTCCCAGAAGCAGTCACGTGGAAAACCAAGTTACTATCAAGTTACTTGCAAGTATGAAAAGACAGCATTTTAGTCTAACTTTCCTTTTCTCTTCTCAATCGCAGGAAGGGCGTTACGTTAAATTTTAAGTTGTGCGGGGAACTCACGCTACCCATGAATTTCGGGGTGGCATGGGAATATTTGTTGTTAAAATAGGCCGGGTCCCCGTAGGGTGGAGAACCCCGTTAGGCTAAGTCTTCTGGAGGCAAGGCTACGGAGGGCCGGCCCTACAAGCCCAGGGCACTTGTTGCAAATGCAGACCCGGCCCCGGTGTGAATGGGTCGTGGAAACCTGTCCTGGGCCAGTGTGGGAGCCGCCTGCACCCTGTTCCCTTCCCAGGGCTCCAGGGCCCTCCCAGGGCGGCCGCTAGAGGGCACTGCAGGGGAGGCTCCCCGAGGCCGCGCTGCAACTTTGAACCTGCCCGCTGCACCCCGGAGCTGCTGGGGTGCGGGGTGCTCAGAGCAGCCTGTTCTGTTCCTTGGCCTCCTGGCACACCTGGAATTGTATCCGAACTTGTTTTGCTGACTCATGACTCGTCTACCCTCTAGAATATAACCCCCCGGGGGAGCAGGGGCTTTGGCTGACCGGCCCTGCGCTGCCTTCATCCTCAGGACCCAGAACACTGCCGGGCATAATGATGGGCTGAATGAATGAGGGAGAGAAGAGAGGAAGGGAAAAAGACAAATAGAAAGGTTTGAAGGACTAAAGGAAGAAGAATAAGCAGAGAGAGACCCGCTGTGTGTAGGATCCCGGGCGCCCCGCTTACCTCCAGACACCCCTGCAGGGCCTGGTAGTCGGTGGAAAGCTGGTCCATTTTGTGCTGGTGGCTGGGGTTCCCCTGGATGAGAGGCCTCATGGCCTCCATCTGTGCCCCCAGGTCCAGGCCCTCTTCCTGCAGCCCCTGCAGGAAAAGGAGCGAGTGAGGCTGTCCTGTTTGCCTCTTGTCATGGGAGCTGATCGGGTGGTGGTGGGGCAGGGGGTCCTCTGAGTGGGTGAGCTGGGGAGGATCCCTTCATGATGAGGCTCCCTAACCCCAGTGGCTGCCCTATATGGCTGTCTGATGGGCATCCTCTCAGATTTTTAAAAGGAAACATAAATATTCTAGGACACCAGCCTGGGACGTATCTCTGGGGGTCAAACTCCCATCTGAATTCTTACTTCATGACCACCTCTCACTATGAAGAACCACACCCCAGCTTTAGTTTCAAAGGCCCCAAATGCACCATTTAAAAAAATAAATTTGTAAATACAGTTTTATTGGGACACACCCTCTCAATGTATGCATGAGCTTCGCTCGAGTCTTAAAAGGATACTTGTGTCACACGCATTTAAAATCCCGCAAGTTCCTTATCAAGCCGATAAGTACTGACAAGTCAGCCTGTGTATAGCCCGCCTGTGTTTTAAAACATTCATTCTCACTTTCGAAATCCGACGATTTAACCGAAGGCCTCTGTACTCATTAGGAACCCTTGGCAAAGCAATTTAAAAAAAAAAAAAATGAATACCAAATACCAACGTTAGACTTTGGAATCACAGAGTAAACATCATTTTGCTGGGCTCGAGAATCAGCAGTGTGTAGGTACTATAGGTCCCGCAGAGGCCAGAAAGAAACCACCAGATAAATCAGCAGAGATTCGGAGGAAAGGTCAGAGCTCAGGTGAGGGGCCCGGTGGCTGCTGTGCTGCAAGTCCCTGCCGCAGGAGGGGAGCTGCTTCTGGGCGCAGCGGAGCCCGGAGCAGGGCCACCCGGGCCCCACCAAGCCCTTACCTGCAACCTCAGGAGCTGGGCCTGTTTCCCAGGAAGGTCGTGCCGAAACCCGTTCTCGGCTTGGACCCTGGCTTGGAGGTCCGAGAGCTTCTTCTGGAGGGGGTGGAAAGCGTCCCCAAAGTCTCTGTGCTGAGCCAGCAAGCTCTGCGGAGACACAGAATGGGCAGCATAGAAATGAAGAAGTCTCCTCGCAGGCACCTGTACAACCGGCCACTCACAGTCACACTGCTCTTTCCCCAGCCTTGTCCTGGCCAGCTCATACCCACTCGGGCATCACCTCCTCCGGGAAGCCTTCCTGGAGCCCTCCTTGGAATCTCCGTGCTGTCCTCACGGGACAGTTGCTCTGCTCTCTGGTACAGAACAGACGTCTCCTAACAGACGCACCAGATCCCACCAGAGGGCTGTTTCTGTAGAGCTTTTTCGGGACACGGCCACAGCCACTCATTTATGGCTGCTTCCCGGCTACAGAGGCCGGGCTGTGGAGCTGCAGCCGACACCGTCCGCCCCACGAACCCTAAGATGTTTGCTGACCGTCTGCTGTGCGGGGGGACGGGATCCTGGACGGGAAGGAGGCTCTCGGCCAGTGCCCGGCCCCTCTCAGGGTCCCGCCGCCAACAGCTACGTTGTCACGTTAGCAGATGCTCAGCACACGTTTGGCACGCGAAAGAGTACACTCCGCACACGTGCCGCCTTGCGCCCCGGATTCAGGCTCCTCGTCCAGAAACGTGCTCCTAATAGTACTGGCTTTCGGTTCTAGGGTGCTTTACGTTCTACAGGCGATTTTCTCTGCATTTTCTGCTTTGACTCCCCTCCCTACCAACCCCTCTGGAGAAGACGGTTGTGTTTGACAGCAGTGTAGACGGGGTTTGGGGGGGCAAGAGGTGGGGGAGTTGGTGGGGGAGGCAGGGGTGGGGGGCAGGGGCCAGGGAGGCAGGGGTGGAGAGGCAGGGGTGGGGGAGCTGGTGGGAGAGGCAGGGGCGGGGGGCAGGGCTCAGGGAGGCAGGGGTCAGGGAGGCAGGGATGGGGAGGCAGGGGTAGGGGGAGCTGGTGGGGGAGGCAGAGGTGGGGGACAGGGGTGGGGAGGCAGGGGCGGGGCAGCTGGTGTGCAGGACAGCAGTTGGGAGGCTGGTACGTCCGTGGCACCCAGCCTAGTGGTGAGGCGCGAGGCCCGGGGCCCGAGGGCTGGCCAGGGGACCCAGTGGCGAGCCCCCCCCCCGCCCCCCGTCCCCCACCCCAGGCACACACCTGCAGCTTGCTCTTCCTCTGCAGGAGGCTGTTGTGCAGCAGGTCCCTGTCCCGCACGGAGCCGGCCACCTGCTCCAGGAGCGCCGTGGCCCTGTCGGGGCCGAAGAGGCTCCTCAGCACGTCTCTCTTCAGCTGCAGCGCGGTCAGCTGCTCCTTCAAGCGCGAGCTCTCGGCCAGGGCGGCCTAGGAGGAGCAGGGCCCCGTGAGCCTGGCTGCTGGTGCACACGCGTCCCTGCACCTGCCTGGATGGGGGGGGGGGGGCACAGCACGCCGGGAGGCCCTGCGTTTCGGGGCCGGCCCGATTCCTCTCTTGCCCCCCACTCCCATCTCCCCCCCGAAGCCTGGGCAAGAGCCCCACCTCCCCTCCAGCCATGGCCACCGCCTGGCGACCCTTTACTTGGTGATCCCCACACCCGACAGCAGTGGGACCACCTCCCAGTGCTGTTTAGGACACACTGAAGGGGCTAGGGGCTTATGGGAGCAGGAGCAGTGGGAATCCAGGAAGGCTCCCCAGAGGAGGTGACAGCGATGGAGTCGTGTTGTGTGGGAGCTGCGCAGGTGAAGGAGGGACCTAAAGGAGACTTATGGGATGAGTGGCAGGCTCCCGCGCAGCCGGAACTCTGCACAGCCCAGGCCCCACCTCCCGCAGGAAGCCTGCCCTGACCACATCCCCAGCCTACACTCACTCTTCCCGCCCCCAAGCCCTGGGCCAAGCCTCAGGGTCCTGCCATTGGGGTCAGCACCTCTTGCTGCTCTGAGGGCCCAGGTCCCGGGGGCCAAGGGTCTTGTCTTTAGCTGGCCAGAGTCCTTCCGTTTACACCTGTGATGTTACTGAGACGCTGAGCTAGCCATGGGGCTGGGAAGGGAGAGCAGAGACCCCCGCCAGGTAGGGAACCGCGATCCGAGGCAGAAAGTGATCATTTCCCTTAAAGTCTCCACAGAGCCCTGTGGGCGTTCGAAGCAGAGCTCAACACTCCCAGTTGGGGAAATCCGAGAAGGCTCCCCAGAGGAGGCAGCTTTGCCAACAGCTGGGACGGCAGAGAGAGTCCCCAGGGGAAGGGTGGCATAATCACAGCTGACACGGCTGGACCGGTGTCACCTCCCCGCAAGGGCACGTGGTGTGTGATCGCCGCAGAGAGGACAAGCCTCCTTATGGAGAGGGTGACCTGTGCTCCCTTTTCAGCAAATCTGGACACGATACCACAGGGTTTAAGAGTTCGGGCTGAGAAGTTGCCATGGTGAGTGTGAATTCCATACTAGTTGGGAAGCCTTGGGTAGTTCCGAGACTCAGTTTCCCCAACCATAAAATAGGCGTAGTCACACTCAACTCACAGGGCTGTATGAGGCTGAAATGAGGTGAGGCCTAAACAGCATTTAACGTGGTCCATGACCCGCGGCCCCCTCAGCTAGGGCCACGCCACCAGCTCTTATGGGTTGAATTGTGCTCCCTGCAAAAAGATGCGAAGTCTTGGCCACCCACCCCTGCCAACTACCTCAGAATGTGACTTTGGAGACAGGGTCTTCACAGAGGTAGTCAAGTTGAAATGAGGTCATTAGGGTGGACCCTAATCCATGGCGACCTGGGCACTTTTTTATTTTTATTTTTATTTTTTTTTAATTTTTATTTATTTATGATAGTCACAGAGAGAGAGAGAGAGAGAGAGAGGCAGAGACACAGGCAGAGGGAGAAGCAGGCTCCATGCAGGGAGCCTGACGTGGGATTCGACACGGGTCTCCAGGATCACTCCCTGGGCCAAAGGCAGGTGCCAAACCGCTGCACCACCCTGGGCGCTTATTAAAGAAGGAAATCTGGGGACACCTGGGAGGCTCAGCGGTTGAGCATCTGCCTTCAGCTCAGGTTGTGATCCCAGGGTCCCGGGATCGAGTCCCGCATCGGGCTCCCCGCAGCAAGGCTGCTTCTCCCTCTGCCTGTGTCTCTGCCTCTCTCTGTGTGTCTCATGAATAAATAAAGAAAATCTTAAAAAATAAATGAAGGGGGGAATCTGGACCCAGACACACAAGCGTGGGGGGAAGACAGTGTGAAGGCACAAGGGGGGAAGCTGTCCCTGTGACTGCAGAGGCCGAGGTTGGAGTGGCGGGTCTACAGGCCAGTGAACACCAACAAGCACCGCAAACCCCAGGAGCTGGAAGAGGAAGGGAAGCATCCTCCCCTAGAGGCTTCAGAGACAGCACGGCCCCCCGGCAGCCTGATTGTGGACTTCCAGTCTCCAGAACCAGGTTCTGTTGCTCTAAGCCACCCAGTTTGAGTCCTTTGTCACAGTCATCCCTGGAAGCAGCTATTTCAGCCATGCCCCACTTTGGGGCCCGGTGCCTCCGTTCTAGAGGAAATTTGCAGGTCCAGAGGCTACTCTGAGGCTGGGTGTAGATGCTGAGCCAAGACAAACAGGGCTGGCAGCTTGAGCCTGGCCCGTGAAATCCATCCTTCCTGGGAAAGGCTGGTGAGTGTAACGTAAGACAGGATCCTGGGCAGCAAACGGCATTTAAACACGGGCAAACCACAGTCCTGCCCACTTTTCTAACACACGAATCCACAAAACTCCTGCCCTGGGAGTCCTGAGTCATGCTCTAGAAAGGCCCAGGTGGGGATCCCTGGGTGGCGCAGCGGTTTGGCGCCTGCCTTTGGCCCAGGGCATGATCCTGGAGACCCGGGATTGAATCCCACATTGGGCTCCCGGTGCATGGAGCCTGCTTCTCCCTCTATGTCTCTGCCTCTCTCTCTCTCTCTCTCTCTCTGCGACTATCATAAATAAATAAAAATTTTTAAAAAATTTTAAAAAATAGAAAGGCCAAGGTGCTGGTTAGCTTTCTGTCCCAGCGAGAAGGACAGGGCGGAAATGCAATCGGGATCCAGTGGGAAAAGCACTTGCCATGGAGTCAAAGAGACTTGGGTCAAAGCCAGCCCTGACATCGAGTTCCTGTGTTACCTTGAGCAATGCCTTCCTCTCTGAGACACCGTTTCCTTAGCCGTCAATTGATGAAAATAAAATTTTTCAGCCTGCTTCCCAAACCTGTTCCCAGGACCCAATGTGACATCAGGAATAAGAGCATAAGATGAGAGTCTAGAGCCCACCATTCTGGCCTCAGCTCTGCCTCTCAAGTGGCCTGAATTTGAACAAACACCCTAACTTCTCTCTGGCTCTGGTCCCTTTTCAGCAAAACGAGGAGGAAAATGATGGAAATGGAGACCAAAATCTGTGTACACGGGTATTCAATGCATACAAATTATGACAAAAAAAAATCTGGAAACAACCTAACTATTGCAAGAATGGAAAACAATATTATGCATCCGCTTACACTGATGACTTTTTGGAAACATTTTACCCTTTTTCTTTAAAATTTGTTTAGTTGAAGTGTAATAGACATATAACACTACGTTAGTTTAAGATTCAATACTTGTATGCACCGCGATGTGATCACCACTATAAATCTAGTACCATCTGTCACCATACAAAGTTAGACTTTTTTTCCTTATGACAATGAGAACTTTTAAGATTTACTTTCCTGGCAACTTTCAATACGTCCTATGATATTGACTGTAGTCACCATGCTGGACCTGACATCCCCAGGACTTATTTATTCTAGAACTGAAGTCTGTATCCCTGCAACCCCTATACCCATTTTACCCACCCCAATGACCCCAATGGGTCATCCCATTGGCCACCTCCATTCTGTTCTCTGTTATCTATGAGATTATTGTTTTAGATTCCACATAAAGGCGGGACCGTGTAGGCAGGATCTCTTTCTCCGTTTGATATTATCTCATTTGATATAATGCCCTCGAGGTCCCCCCATGTTACTGTAAGTGGCAAGATTCCATTGTTTTGGGGGGTTTTTTTGTGGTTGAGTAGCATTCCATTATATACATATGATGTGTTTTATATATATATATATATATATTATCCTCTTTTATCCATTCATCCATCAGTGGACACCTGATGGGTTGTTTCTCATCAGGGAAAGGCCTTGGGTTGTTTCCAGGCCTTGGCTATTGTAAATATTGATGCAATGAACGTGGAGGTGCCAATAGCTTTTCAAATGAATATTCTTGTTTTCTTTGGATAAGTACCCGGAAGCAGACTTGCTGAATCATACATAGCTCTATTTTTAAATTTTTTGAAGAACTTTCATACTGGCTTTCCACAGTGGCCACACCAGTTTATATCCCCACCAACAGTGCACCAGGGTTCCCTTTTCTCCACATCCTCACCGATGCTTGCTATTTCTTGTCATTTGATGCTAGCCATTCTGACAGTTGTGACAGGTGCGAGGTCATATCTCATTGTGGTTTCCATTTGCACTTCCCAGATGATGAGCGACATTGAGCATCTTTTCGCGTGCCAGTTGGCCATCTGGATGTTTTCTTTGGAAAAACATCTATCCAGATCCTCTGCCGAAAGTTTCTGCTGAAAAATCTGCCTAGAGCCTCATGGAGGTTCCCTTCTATGTAACACATTATCTTTCTCTTGTTACTTTTAAGATTCTTTATTTTTAACTTTTGACATTTGAATGATAATGTGTCTTGGTATGGGCCACCTGGGGTTCATCTTATTTGGACTCTCTGTGCTTCCTGGACCTGGATGTCGGTTTCCTCCCCCAGGTTAGGGAAGTGTTCAGTCTTTATTCTTCAGGTACGTTTTCTGCCACGCTTTCTCTCTCTTCTCCTGGGACATCTATCATGCAAACGTTATTCTGTTTGAGGTTGTCTCCTAGGGGCCTTAAGCTATTTTCATTTTTAAAATTAATTCTTTTTGGGGGGCACCTCTGTGGCTCAGTGGTTGAGCGTCTGCCTTCAGCTCGGGTCATGATCACGGGGTCCCGGGATGGAGTCCCTCATCGGGTTCCCCGTGGGGAGCCTGCTTCTCCCTCTGCCTTTCTCTGTGTCTCTCATGAATAAATGAATAAAATAGTTTAAAATTTTTTAAATAGGGATCCCTGGGTGGCGCAGTGGTTTAGCGCCTGCCTTTGGCCCAGGGCACTATCCTGGAGACCCGGGATCAAGTCCCACGTCGGGCTGCCGGTGCATGGAGCCTGCTTCTCCCTCTGTCTCTCTCTCTCTCTCTCTCTCTCTCTCTCTCTCTCTCTCTGTGACTATCATAAATAAATAAAAATTAAAAAAATAAAATAAAATAAAATTTTTTAAATAAATTTATTTTTTCTTTTTGACACTCAAGTATGTTCCACTGCCCAGTCTTCCAGATCAGTGATCCCTTCTTCTGCTGCATCTAGTCTGCTTTTGAACCCTCTCATGTATTTTTTTTTCATTTCAGTCCTTGTATTCTCCAGTTCTGTGATTTCTGTTTGGTACTTTCTTGTATTTTATATTTTTGGTTGAAGTTCTTGCTGTGTTCACTCCTTCATCTCCCAAGATCAGTGAGCATCTTTAGGACCATGACTTGGGACTCTTTATTGGGTATATGGCTTATTTCCATTTCATTTCTGAGGTTTTATCTTGCTCTTTCATTTGGAACATATTCTTCTGCTTCCTCATTTTGCTTGGATCCCTTCATACGTTTCTATGTTTTAGGCAAAGCAGTCATCTCTCTAAGTCTTGAAGGAGTGGCCTTGTGTGGGACATAAAGCTTATTGTTCAACCCTGCCCTTGCTCTTGATTGTCTCTGGAAACTTTGTGATGGTCTAAGCAGGCTGTTTTGTTCTGTTTTATTTTTTGTCTGTTTGTTTGTTTGTTTGTTTGTTTAAGTAAGCTTTGTGCTCAATGTGGGGCTCAAACTCATGATCCTGAGCTCAAGTGTGGCATGCTCTGCTGAATGAGTCAGCCAGGCACCACCAGCCTGATTTATTTGTAATAGCTCCAGTTGTTAAGGGAATACAAAGACCTCCCAGCATGCCAGATGAAGGGATCCATTGGCTCCCAGTTTCAGGCTGATTAGAAGCCAGACCCTCAGGCAACAACTTTTATGCAAATATATATAGTTCTGCAGAATCACAATTGTAAACCTTGCTGGTCTCCAGGCCAGGTGATTTGGAGGCATTCTCTGCACAACAGGTGCAAACATTGGGGCCCCAGAGGAGTGTCTAAGGTCATCTCTGGGAGATGTCAGCAAGCCATAGCAAGGCCAAGGGATAGTGCAAAGATGTTGTATCCCACCCTATGTTCTCTGACTGCACCTCTACAGGCCCCTCAGTAGGTGGCAAAAAACTGAAGTCTGCTCCTGAGGCTGAAGCTCCAGGATAAGCAAAGAGGATTTTTTTTCACTGAAAGACTAAAGGTATGTCTCAATCTGCTGTCTGGGCAGGGCCCCAGGATCTGCCTCCCACAATCTGCCTCTCTGATTGTTAGAGTCCTGGGGGACCCAGGAACGTAAGCCCTCACCCCTACCCCCAGCCACCCCAACTAGGAGATCAAGGGGCTTCCCTTGTGTGTACGGCAAGCACTCACAAGCTTTACAAGGTGGCAGGAAAGCACAGGGCTGGGGTGTATGCACTGGTGCTAGTGAGGCAGAAGGAGAGTGCAAATGGCACCTGCCCCTAAGATTAGCAAATGAATCTCCTTCATATATAGTCCGGGGGCTTTTCGAACTGCTGCTATCACCCTGGTCCCTGGAGCAAGTGTGTTTGTGCGCAAGACTTTAGGAAAAGTATCTCAGTGCCCTACAGCCCTTTGGGTTTCCTGGACACAAGCCCCATTGGTTTTCCAAATGAGATGTTTTGGGGATTTACCTTCCCCCACGTACGCCTCAGGGGTTGGGGTGCTTGATGTGGGACACAAACTCCTTGTTCCTCCAGCAGAAGCTCCAGGTTGGAGATCCTTCCTGACTGTGGGTTGCTGCACTAGGAGTTGAGGTTTTTGGCCAGATGTTGTCTCTGCCTCTCCTACTCATGTCAGTGATGCCCTTTGACCATCAGATATGAAGCAGCTGCACAGTGAGTTTTCAGGGCATTTTCAAACGGAGGTTATTCCATGTGTAGCTGTAGATTCAGCATGTCCACGGGAGGAGGGGAAGTTCAGGATCTTTCTATGCTGTCATCCTGGACCATCTCTCTGAACCATTTTAAATGATGCCAAGAAAAAGCTCAGATGCACCAACTAAAAGTATCCTAATGCTCAACAGTATAGCATGATCCCAAATACGCGAAAGTTGTTAATGAATGAAGGCTTCTGTCTATTGGTGACCATATTGCACAGAAATGACTAGATGGATTTTCATCAGACCTAAAGGGTATATATTTTGGATTGTCTGACCTAACAGTGATTTTCGTGACACACAGAAAAGTCACTTTTGGGAGCCCTGAGGAGTCCCTCAGAAGGATGGACAGTCATCTTTCAGAACATGGAAGAAAGAAGCCCCCAGGACCCTCAGAAAGAAAAGCTATGCCCCACAGTTGAAGAACTGGACAGAGAAAACCAATTCTTATGCCAGCATGAGCCCCAAGTGGAAAATCATGAGAACAGATGCTCCAAAATGCAGGCACCACTCTGTGGCTCAGTAGCGTGTTTAAGGGTGAGGACCCCCAAGAAATACCAAGTCAGGTAGAAAATATGATGTGTCCCCTGACATGTTAACAGTTAACCAAGTCAGATAGAAAATATGATGTGTCCCCTGACATGTTAACAAGTCCTACGGCTTGTGGCATAATGGACGCATTTTGTTTCCTTCTCCACAAATCTTTACATCTCCAAGCAGGCATGACCTTTATAACCAGAGCGAAAATTAATACAGAACAAGGCTTATATCTCATACTCTTTGTGCCTCCTCCCATTCAGGGTGTCTTAGAATCCCTGGACCTGAAAGTATTTTCTGGCTTCAAATACCATAAGGCAGTGTTGATGGGCTAATCAGAGCTGCCACGCTGATGGACATTTGTGGTAGACACCACTGTCCATTCACCCAACACGCATTCCTCCTTCCTGGTCACCAAACCCAGCACTGTGTTTAGATGGCCTCCCAGTTAGTGGTGTTGAAATACATTTCTAGGCTCAAGGTGGGGCTCTTTCACCCCGGATGCCAAGGCAGCAAAGTGAAACTCCCAGATAAGTTTTGAGTTCCCGTAAATGCTCTGCTTGACCAGAAACACAGTATATCTAGTCTGCGATCCCCAAATGTCAAGCCAGCTCTGGACCTTCTCCCCCCAAACAAGGCTGACTGACCAACAGCCAATCAGATATTTTCTGTCTTTCCTTGTTCTTTATTCTTTATCTTATTAAACCTTCCTGCCATCTGCCCCATTTTGCAGTTCTCCAAAAGGAGGCTGTCCACTCGTGAAGTGTTAAATAACGTTTGTTTGTATCATCTAAATTGTCTTCTTTGGGACGCCTGGGTGGCTCAGTGGTTGAGCCTCTGCCTTTGGCTCAGGGTGTGATCCCGGGTCCTGGGATCAAGTTCTGCACTGAGCTTGCACTGAGGGAGCCTGCTTCTCCCTCTGCCTGTGTCTCTGCCTCCCTCTCTCTGTGTGTCTCTCATGAATAAGTTAATAAACTATTTAAAAAATAAAAAAAATACATTGTCTTCTTTAAACACATTTTAAGGGGATGCCCAGGTGGCTCAGCAGTTGAGCATCTGCCTTCGGCCCAGGGTGTGATCCTGGAGTCCTGGGATTGAGTCCGGCATCAGGCTCCCCACATAGAGCCTGCTTCTCCCTCTGCCTGTGTCTCTGCCTCTCTCTGTGTCTCTCATGAATAAAATAAAATCTTTTTTAAAAAATAAAAAATAAACACATTTTAATATAGGGTTATGTCTGAAATTGGTAAAACCAGTCCTGGCAGTCCCATCATCCTCAGCCAGTGATTGGTCCAGGGACAGTCACGTGCCCAGCTGAGCAGAAAAAATGCAAGGAGAGTCCACTGGGGCTTCTGGGAAAGAGGGTCTGCCTCCCTGTTGGAAATGATGACTAGAGAAACCCTTTTGCCCCCTTGCTGTTCCTTCTGGAACAAGATGTTCCTCAGGTGAAGATGCAAGCTTGCTGTGTGGCAAGCCATCTTAGGGCCATGAAGGGAGATATAGCTTAGGGCTTGGAAGAGTCTGGGTTCTAGAAGATACTGTTGAGCTATCAAGCCATCCCTGGAACCACCTAAAAGCCTCTGGGTTTTAAGCTACCATTGGTCAGAATTTCCGTCACTTGTCACCTGCATCCTAATTGATACACACACAGGAAAGGGAATGGCCTCACATGCTCTCCCTCAGGTCTGCTGGTGCTTCCACCAGAGGCCCAACTGCAGGAGGATCTTGAAGGGAAGCGGTGTGGGAGGGTCAGTACACAGTCCTGGGGTCACACCGGGTATCAGTTCCCAAGAATTGAGGATGACCTTTGTCACTGATAACATTTACTGGGCAGACTTGGGACTTTCCAGGTAGGGTGCAATGAGCTCTACCCACGTACCTGGAGGCCCTTCCCTAGAAGGGACTTTCCCTAGAAGCCCGACTACCATGTCATGCCTGGCTGGTGGCCTCCCTCCTCCCCCCTGCACACTGGTCAGTCCTCCTGGCAGGACCACGGTTACCTCGATCTGGGGCAGGAAGGTGTGGATGGAGGGCAGGTCTGGCAGGCTGGCAGTGACATCCAAGAGCCTCTGGGCCAGGGTCCTCCATATCTGCAGGTCCTGCAGAGGCCGCTGGAAGCACTGCCACAGCTCCACCCCCGTGGCATTGCGCAGCCTGGTGCTCTTCCCCTTCATGCTGCGAGGGCCATGGAGAGGAGAAACCGAGACAGGAAAGCGTGGCGTCAGTCCAGAACAGAGGTCTCTCCCGGGACCCCGGGGGGATCCCAGCCTACATTGTTCCCACGGTGGACTCTCCCCCGTCCTTGGGCTGCTGGGAGTGGCTATGGGGTCTCAGAGGTCTACACCTCTGGAGAAAAGTACACTGGAAGCAGCCCAGCCTCACGACCAGAGAGCCTCGAACCTTGGAGAAGGAATCATGCAGCCCCTAGCCTGGTACTGCCTACCCCCAGGCACCTCGCAGAAGCTAACACAAAATCCCTTCCTGAGTAAGAGACCATCATCCTAGGCCCAAATCATTTCTAGAAATAATCTTCCAAATACAATAGCCAGTCAGAGCGAGCGAGCACATAAAAGCTCAATAGGAGAAGCTAGAGGGAAGGGGGGAGCCCCTCGGCTCCCCGTGCACAGAAGGTCACGGCCCTGCTACCACCTTAGCACCCCTGCAGGGGATCCAGGTCCCTGCTCTCTGGTACAGATGCACAAGCAAGGGGGAGGCGGGGCTCTGAGTTCATCCTAAAGGAACCTCTGCATCAAGCAGAGGGATGAGAGGTGCTCTGGATACGGGGACATTTGTGCTGTGTTCCCAGCACCTCTGAGGCTCACGTAGCACAAGTTGCTCCAGACTGCAAAGATACAGTGTTCAGCTCCAGGGAGGGCAGACATTTGATCTACTGACATTTGCAGGGCTAGGAACTGGAGCCCCTGTTCTGCTGAGCCCATGGGCGGAGGGGGACAGAGAGGTTGCTCTGAAGACAGGCTCAGACGCTGTGTGGGCACCATCTGCAGGGAGGGGGACGGTGTCTGTCTGTTGAAAAGCCCTCCCTTTGGGCCATTGCTTGGTGGACGCCTCCCCCGTGCTAGGCCACATAGAGACTGGATGGAAATGGGTGAATGAGCCACTCAGCACGGAACAAGCCAAGTCTAGTCCTCTTTCTGGAAACAGAATGCCAGTGGCTGAGGAGTGCAAGAGTGACCAGGTTGCAAGAGAAAGCCAGCACACCTGGTGGTGGCACCCTCGATGAGGTCAGAAGACCCCTCGAGCGTGAGGTCCGAGGCACGCCCAGGGGCTCCCCTCCCTCAGCCAGCCCGGGTACCTCTGGAACTCCTGGAGGGCAGCGACCACGCTGTCGGAGAGCGGCTGCAGGTCATGGGGGAAGGCGACGAGCTCCTTCAGCTGCGCCTGCAGCCGGGCCACCCGGGGCTCTTCAGCAGCCAGGGCTGTCCGCGTCGCCTGTGGCACACAGACCAAACCAGAGGGGCGCGGGAGGTTCAGTGACGGGGCGATGAGCACAGCAGGGTGCACGAGCCTGGGAGAAGACTCACCCAGGGCAGGGGTCGGAGTCCCCGGAAGCTCAGCCCCTGCTCTCCTGCTCTGTGCCCCGAACTTGGCATTTGCTGCCACCAAGCTGGGTTTTTAGGTATCACCACTGACCTCAGCGTTAAGAGTCATGAGTCCTCATGACACCTCACTGAATGCTCTGGGGTCCCATTCATTGAAGTTGCACAGAGACCCTAAGAAGTAACTCTCCGTGTCCCCACCGCATACCCAAGGAAGCTCCGGCTAGGAGTTATCTGACGGTTGCGGAGCAAGTGAACAGTGGACCTGACGTGGGAGCAGGGCCTTCTGGCTCTAACACTGCAGCACTAAAGGGAAACGACAGTCTAAAGAGGCCCCGTGAAGCCGGTTAGCGTCCTGGCAGGACGAGGGCATTTAGTTCCCCTGAGCCCTCTGGAACTCCTCCACTCACTGGGCTGCACGTCTTGGTGCCAGACACGGCCTTCTCCTGCTGTGCTGGGAAGTGTGGGGGTTTGACTTTGACCTTGACTCTCGATGGGCTCATGTTCGGTAGAAGAGATGGGGTAGCAGAAAGTGCTGGGCTCTGGAAACCTTCTCGACCCCTTCACCGCTGGGCAACCTTGGGCTGTTCCCTCATTGGCAAAGGGGGGCCACCCCCATACCCAGGTACTGGGCACAGAGCAGGAGCCCAGCTGTGCCCCTCCCCAAGTGCCCCACATGCAACCTCATGCCTTGGGCCAGATCCTCCATCCACAGGGACCAGAGGCAGCTCCAGCCAGGCTCAGTCTTGGGTGAACCACAAGTGACCTGGGACCAGGGTTGGGCTCAAAGGAGCAGGCTCAGATAGAGGGACTGTAGGCAGCAGCTGGGGGAAGGAGGGAACACTGTATAGGCAGCAGGACGTGGAATCTTCCCTGGGCAGCCTTATTCATCCTCATAAACTACTCTTGTCCATACTTAATCGTTAAGTACATGCAACGAAATCTGCACAAGTTTTTGTAGAAGATGAAGAAGACACAATTGGGGTGTATGAATCGGCAGTTTCCACACCATTCAGGAAGAAGCCCCAGGGAGGCTGGCCAGCCTGCAGGCAGGAGAGACTTGGCCGGCGCAGGGCCGGGGTCTGCAGCGAGGAGCAGCCTCGTGGGCTGCCTCGGGAGAAAGGCCTGTCAGGCCCACAGGACGGTCAAGAGTCACTATGGGGCCAGACAGGTCACAGAAACGTCAGGGGAGCAGGGAGGGACCAGCATGGGAGGCTGCTGCCCGAGTGCCGGCCTGGCTAAGAGCTGCCCCTCTCTGGATACAGCTGCCTTCACCCCGAAATAAGAGGGGGCGCTCCTGGCCCTGCTGTGCACTCCATACCCATGACGTGGGCATCTTTAGTTTCTGGATTGCTGGGATGCCCGGGAGGGGACCGTGGGCAGTGGCTGTGGCCGACTCTGGGTTAGCCACGAAACCACTCTGATCTCAACCCGCGCCACTAGAAGTCTCCCTGACGTGGATGAATGGCGCTGCCCTGCTCCACGTGGGGACGCCACCCCTCACTCCCGGCCCCCGTTCTCAGTGAGGGAGGGTTTGGGATGAGAAGGTCACAGCCAGACTGAGCTCCAGCGCCCTTGTTCCTGGTCCTCGCCTCTCACTGCGCTAGTTTTCTAAAACTGGGAGCCTGAGCTGGCGCAGAAGCACGTGCTCTTGAGTCAGGCTGCCTCGGTTCGAGTTCAAGTCCCTGGCTCCACCTGGAGGGTGCATAACCACAGGCGGGTCTCAAACTCTTGAGTGCCTCAGTTTCCCCATCTGTAAAAGGCGGTGCCCCCCCACCCCCTGCTGCCCTTGGCATAGGTTTGCACAGCTCTCAGCACGTTCCCGTGTCAGTTTTGAAGATGAACACGTTGCTCTTTCAGCTGGGGTCCTCGCACAACCTGCTTCTGTGGGGCTGGCCTGTTTTTTCAAAGAGGGAACAGTCCAAATCTCCTTCTCGGTGCAAGCGAGGATTAGTGCACTCTACCCTTCCGTTGCTCTGCAGGGCCAAAGCCGGTCAGGCTGCCTCGCAGCCACACACCTGGCCTCGTCCCAGGCCTCGTCCCACTCCGAGGCCGGGTGGCAGCAGGTCAGGCCTGCCTGTTCTTACTATAGAACATGTAATCGGTGCAAACAGCCCCAGTGTGAATGCTGCTTTCAGAACAAAAGTCTATAGTGATAAATTCCAGACTTCCCTTTCATTGACTTCATTTAGTCATGACTTGCTGGTCATTGAGGCCACACTGGAATCGGGTGGGGCAGAGAGTTCTCAGGAATGTGGTTGGCCTCCTGCCTCAGGAGAGGCTTCCTGAAACGCAGCTGGCCACAGGCAGGTGGCTGGTGTGATGGGGCAGTGGCAGGGCTTCCTCGGCCAGGCCCCGTCCCCCACCCCGAGTTTATTCTTTGACCTTTATCCCATATCTTGTGGGAAAAGCCAATACTCTGGGAGCCCCAACCTTGGCAGGTGCCATGCTGAGCACATCTGAAGCTCCCACCTGTTCATTCCTGCTCTGCACACAACTGAGGTTTAAAGCCCTTCTCCCAAGCGAGGAGAGAAAGCAGGACCTGCACCCAGGCAGCCTGACCGGAAAGCCCCCACCCTTGACCCCTGCACTCCCCACCTCCACCTGTGCCGAGGCGGACAGTCCTAAAGAGGTAGCAGGTCCCTGTGCGCAAAGTTGGTCGCTGCAGTGGAATCTGGTCTACTAGGAGGCTCAGGGAGCCCTAAGGACTATGCGCCTTGTTTCGACCCACACGAAAATATTTTTGCATCTGGGCAAGCATTAGAAGGAAGACAAAAAATAGAACAACAATGCAGAGTGGAGGTGGGATCTGGGCAGCGTTTCTTTTAGACATTTCCCCTAATGGTACGGACATAGAGCTACCCCGCTGAGTTAATGAGTAAAGATAGGAGTGGGGGAGGGTGTCAATCCTTATTTAAAAATCTCTCTGTCCAGAGGTCAGATCTCCTGAGCATACACGTGGGTGGGAGGAAGGCGAATATACTCCGACCACACATGGTGTCTGGGTGGGAACCCACCCCACCCTCGCAGGGTGGGCATGGTCCGCTTGCTCTCCCCAGAACCCCATCATCTCTACACTATACAACTTTCCCTCTGACCTAACTCTTCTTGCTCTGGGCTCAGGAAGTCCACCCCACATCCCACCACTGGGCAAGGGAATGGCAGGGTCCAAGCCAATCCACCTCTGGTCTTATTTACCCACTGACTCATCGTGTGATCCTGGGGATGTTGTTGTGGGGTGAGGAGGCAGGGGGATGGTGAAATCTCTCCAGGTCTCAGTCTCCTCATCTGGAAAATGGGAACAAACCCCCAGTTTGTATACTACACCCAGGGAACTCAGGTTACCAAAGATCCAGGAAAACCAGAGGGAGTGTGCCTAAGGCTCAGCTTGGTTCTCCCCACAGCCAAAGGAGCTCCACGTGGCGATGCCCCGAGGCCCCACGGCACCCGGAAGGTCCACGTCTTAGGCAAGGCCTGCTTACCGAGTAGAGCCTCCAGCGGGCCACCAGCTCTTCCTCTGTCCCCGCCTTCTCTGCGGGCTCCAGGCCCTCCTCGGCCAGCCTCTGGAGGTCCTTCTTGAACTCCGTGAGCTCGGCCTCCAGCTGCTGCCGCTGCTGCTCACAGGCACCCATGGACCTGAGCAGGCCCTGCAGCCGCCCCTCCTCCTCCTCCCAGAGGACCCGCAGCTTCTCCAGAACTCTCCGCATGTCCTCCAGCTCCTTGGTGATCTTCTCCGCACCCAAAGGAGAGGTGTTCTGGAGCACACCCACAGCCTGTTCCTCCAACCTCCTCAAGGACTTCTCACCCCAGGGAAAATCCTCGGCGATGTCCTAAAGGGGGCAGAGGGGGGATGGAGAGACACGGGAGGGGAGAGAGAAAACGTGTGCTGCCTTTTCCAGAGCTCCTGGGGATGTCATAGCCTTCCACTCACCCAGATTCCATGGTTAGGGTCCAAGGTGCCCTTCCAAGGGGTGGACTGTCTGCCTTGGTAGCGTTCACTCGCAACACAAGGACAGAATTCCTTTTCCCGGGTCATTTATGCCCATTTGATTAAGTCAAGGAGAAAAATCTCTGGCTTTAACCCCCTCTGATATTTGTTGATCTTCCTTTTTTAACAAAGAAAGAGGTGGCCTCAGGCTTGGAGCCTTTGGCTCACAGAAGTATGGAGCCAGATAGAACCTACTGATTCTGTTTGGTTCCATTATATTTTTTTATTTTTAATTTTTTTAATTTTTTAAATTTATTTTTTATTGGTGTTCAATTTGCCAACACACAGAATAACACCCAGTGCTCATCCCATCAAGTGCCCACCTCAGTGCCCGTCACCCATTCACCCCCACCCCCCACCCACCTCCCCTTCCATCACCCCTAGTTCGTTTCCCAGAGTTAGAAGTCTTTCATGTCTGTCTCCCTTTCTGATATTCCCCACTCATTTTTTCTCCTTTCCCCTTTATTCCCTTTCACAAGATTTTATTTATTTATGCATGGGAGACATAGAGAGAGAGAGGCGCAGAGACACAGGCAGAGGGAGAAGCAGGCTCCATGCAGGGAGCCCGACATGGGACTCGATCCCTGGTCTCCAGGATCACGCCCTGAGCTGAAGGCAGCACTAAACCGCTGAGCCACTGGGGCTGCCCGGTTTCATTATATTTATTTGGAAGGTTATCTTCTAATTATGAGTGAGTGCTGGTTTTGCATTCATGACAATGACATCAATTTTCCCTTCAAAGAAAACACTCAATTTGCTTTTAATTACAAACAAATTCATATAAACGCCTTTGAAACTATTTTATTTGCAAATGCCTTCAAAATATTTTACTATTTTATCAAAGTGTCACTGCATGGAGTGAAGTACATAGATCTTAAACATTACTGTCCAAATGGTTTTGAGAAATATTCATGCATATACAGTCCACATTGTTATCAAAATGTAGAGGATTTCTAATATCCCAAAAGCTTCTAGAACTCCACGTCTGAAATCATAAAATATATTCGCTTTTGAAACTGGTTTCTTTCAGCGTAACATCCTTTAGATTTTTCCATGCTGTCATAGATAGCAGTACTTTGTCCCTTTTTTGTCAGAATTTATCCATCCATCCATCCATCCATCCATCCATCCATCCATCTCTCCTGTTCCACGATATGTTTATCCAGTACTCTGCTAATTAAAGTCTGAGCTGCCTTCAGTTTGGGACTATCACAAAGAAGGTCTGATGAACATTATTATACTAGTCATGTAAGATTTTTTTGCTCATTGTTCACTGGTTTTTTTTAAAAAAAAATAAATCACCTTAAGTACAAATATTAAATAAATGGTACAGGTGCCGTATATCTGTGGCAAAACTTATAAAGTGGTCCTAGAATTACTGAAGGTAACCTAACATTCCCTTTATAGAGGAAGTCAGAAGCTCATTGGAGGTTACAGGCATTTAGGAAGGCCAGGGCGGACCACGCTTCTCCCCACTGTAGACCTGATGCCTGCACCAGGGCTCCTTACCCACAGCACTACTGACATCTGTAATCGGATAACACTGGAGGGAGCTGTCCTGTGGGTCTCTGGCCCCCATCCATTAGATGCCAGTTGCATCTCCACCCCCCAACTGTAACGACCAAAAGATGCCTCCAGACATTTCCAGAAGTCCCCTATTTGAGACCCCTTGGTCCAGACCATGCTGCTGTGGCCTTGGGTTTCCAAATGCCTTGCTGGCTCAGAGACTTCCAGAAAGCAGCCAAGGCCCCAAACATATCGCCCCAGATCCCATGCTTCTCCATATGTGGGGTCCATGTGCCATGGATTTTGTGTCTCCCGGGGCTCCCAGCACATCCTATTAGATAAGCAACAACACAGAACGCCCATATTCGAGCGTTTCCTCAGTGGGCCCCCGTGATGGAGAAGCAGCCGAGTTTACCTGCAGCATGCAGAGACGGTGCTTGGTGGACAGTTTGCAGCTCCGCCCCAGGCAGCTGCTCACCTTCTCCATCACGGCTTTCAGCCAGAGCTGGAACTCGTCCACACCCGCCTGGAAATCCTCGTGCTCCCGCGTCACCTGTTCCAGCAAATCCACTCTGGCCTGTGGGAGGGGAAGAGAGTCATCACTTATGCAGGTCCCCAGCCCAGGCTGCTTCAAGGAAGGCCTGCCTCTGTGTGTGTGTGTGTGTGTGTGTGTGTGTGTGTGTGTGTGTGTGTTTATGGGGTGTGAGCTGAGGTCAACCCTCTGTCCTTTTGCTGAAGATTAAGAAGTCCCAGATGCCCTTCTCTACCTTATTAGCAGTAAACCAAGAGACTCTTGGTCAAAGCTTGTCCACACTGGGCTTGTCAACTATACGGCTGGCTTTTTTTCCTGCCACGTCCTGAGAATGGCACTCAAGACAGGGGCGTTGTAACAATTCCTGCTACGCAACACTATCACTGGAGCACTCACCACAGTGCCAGGACTGCTCGAGGAACTTCATGTGCATGATCATCTCATGGAGCTCTCCTGACCACCCCATCAGCTGACACCATTCTTATCCTGGTTTGACAGATAGGGAAACTGAGGCACCAAGCAGTGGCCCAAGATCTCGTGGGTAGGAAAGCACTGAGATTCAAACCCAGAAGGCCAGATTGGGCCAGCAACATTAGTGGCCCAAGACTCCAGCAGTGTCTTCAGGGCATGCAAATAAACAGCAGGCGGCCCCCATCTCCTCACAGGGACAGCGCTGTTGCCAGTGTAGGCTGCAGTCACCTCACTTTTTAGACAATCCCACTCTTGTCCTAACCAAGCAGGGGCAAGATGGTGTCCTGAGGGCGGCTGTCATCTGGGAAATAGCAGTGTCCCTGCTATAAGACCTCTGTGCCCAGAGACTCCGTGTCTCAAACACACCCCTGATCACAGCCCCATTTCTCTAAAGCCTTCCATGGCTCCCCACTGCCCATAGGCCCAGATCTCAGTGTCCAGGGCAGGACCCCACGATGTGGCTGTGGCCCTGCGGTCAACACCCTGGGCTTGGAAGCCCACAGCCCATGACCTGAACCCTGGTCTGCCTCATGCCTGAGTCTCCCCATCTATCCATGTCGTTAATAGTCATTCCCGCCTCTTTGGGGTGCAGTGAGATCCAATCAGTCAGAGCTCACACAACCCCAGAACCACACTGGGCAGCTATTCAGCAATTGATCCCTGTGAGCCTTTGATTATCCTCGCTCGCTCTCTCCTGTGCTCCTGGCATATCCAACCAAGCAGGACAGGGCAAGCGGGCAGCTCGGCCTGGATACACTGACCCTGCCTCCTCTCTGACCCAGCCTGCTGCCCCAGGCTCAATGAACGGCCTTCCCTCTGTCCTGTGCTTCCCTCCAGGCCTTGCTCACACCTTGTCATCCGCTGGGAGAGCCAAGGGCTCCCTACACACCATGCTGCCCCTGGTCGACTTCCTCCCCAGGGCCCGCAGGGTGGCTCTATGAATGAAGGCGGCCCTAAATGGCAGGAAGAAATCACATGGAGAGTGGCCAACAGAGGGAAGTTCTTAAGGAAAGTCAACAAGATGGAAAGAGGGGATTTCCTTTTCATAAGCACCCACCACTCGCCTGGAACGTGACGAGCACGATCGTACTTTGCCATCACGATGATGCCAAGCCTGCCCCGTTATGCAGATGTCCAGGCTGATGTTGGGAGGTCACGTAACTCTTCAAGGGCTTATAGGCAAGATGTAAATGGCAAGTGCCTGGCTCCCAAAGTCACTGCCCTAATCCAGAGGTGGGCTGACTAGACAGTGAATGATTTGGACTTTTTATCCGCCTTGTGGTATCTGTGGTGGCAGCTGGCTCCGTGCTACTACATGGTGGTTCACAGCTGCCAGAAGCAAACATGTAAAGCAAGCTTGCATTCTGGTAAAACTCAAACGTGGACACTGAAATGTGAATTTTGCAACGTTTCCACATGTCCTGAAAGATTCTGTTTATTTTCCTACCTTTAAGCCATATGACATCAGGAGATGGGGTGGATGGGGCCCCCAGGCCCTAGTTTGCTGGCCTCGGCTCTTAGCCTGGAGCAGGCCATGTCTGGGAGGGTGCTGACCCTCAACAAAACCAAGTCAAAAGTTCTCAAATGGGAAGTAGGGACAGATACATGGATTCACAAAACTTCCCTATGTCAATGTGCCTTCCCCGGCTGGTGAGAAAGTCCTCAACAAACCCGAAAATACCAATGCATTCTTTTAGACCTTTGCAACAACCATGACAAGGAGGAGAAAATATCCTCACGTGAGAGATGGGGAAACCAAGGCACAGGACCAAGTCTTTTGGCAAAGAGCTGGCTGCCTAAGGGATTGAGGCTCGGAGCAGCAACAGCAGCACACAGCAGGTGCCCGAATTTGAAACGTGGACCAGGAGACAGGGGCCGCCTCCTTCACGCTTCGCCTGCTGGCCCCCCCTCCCCGCATCCACCAAAACCCTCCCAGAGCTCCCCCCGTCCACAGGCCAGCCTCATTTATGAAATAAAGTGGGTCAGGAATAACAAGCAGAGAATACGAGCTGGGCCCCGGGTAGACGCTGATGGTGATAAATGTCATAGCGAGGCGAAGTCTCTCCCCTGAACGTGCTGGCCGGAGGCCCTGTGTGTGAGCGATGAGGTGCTGGCCCTGGACGAAGCCAGAGTCAGTAAAAGCCTCCACGATCCACGATGCAGGCGCTCGGAGTGCAGCGCGGCCGAGCAGGGCAGGCGTCCAGGCGAGCTCCGGGCCAGGCATAACGAGCACAGAGCACAATTCAGCCACGGCCGGGCGGCCACGGTGCAGGATGACAGCAGTGACAAATGGGGGAGTCCTCCACCTTCCCTCATCAGACCAAACAATTAAACCGTCTGTGGCGGGCAGAGCCGTCAGGAATGTCAAAACCCAACCAATTAACAAGGGCGGCGAGGATTTACGCCTCTGCAAGCCTGCGCCAACGGCCTGGATCCATGGCCCAGATGCCAGACAGACACGCCGCCCGGGGAGGAGGAGGAGGCTGCTGTGTGCCTGGCCCTCCACAAAATGCGACTTAAAAAACTCATAATAAACAAGCAGGACCCCGCTGGCAACCAGCCTGCTCTGTTCTTGTGTCTCAAGATCTGGAGTGGACGGCGTGCTATTGCTCGCTCCCGGGCCTGGTCCCAGGACCTCCCTCCCTACAGGGTTAGGGGGAGGTGGGGTGGTCGCAAAGGCCACAGTCCAGAGGTGGCCTCCACAGTGCCTCCCTGCTCGTCCCCCTCAACACCAGGGGCTTTGCTAATGAACATATCGGAAGTCAAAAATGGATTTTCAGAGGGTGGAAACACTGGCCTGCTCACTAGCTTGAGAGACGCCGAAGTGGACTCTCATTGGTGAAAGTCAAGGTACTGACACAGATAATATCTGCTGCAGACTGAGTGGTATGCCCCGGATCCATAGATTGATGGTATTTGGAGGTGGGGCCTTGGAGAGGTCATTAGGGTCACGTGAGGTCATGAGAGTGGGGTCCCCATGATGGGATCGGTGCCCTTATAAAGAGAGTCAGCAGAGAGCCCCCTGTTCCCCTCTCTCCGCTACGAGAGCAAGAAGGCAGCCGGCAACAAGCCAAGGGAAGGCCCCTCACCAGGAGCTGAATCTGTCAGCACCTTGATCTTGGACTTCCCAGCCTACGAAATGGTGAGAAATACGTTTCTGCCGTGCAAGCCCTCTGTCCCGTCCAGGGTGATCGGTTATGGCAGGCGGAGCCGACCGAGGCAGCACCACAGAGACCCACCCTGAGAACAGGCCTGGATCCCTGGGGATTCCTACGCGGCCCTCATCCTGTCCCTGGGCTGGGGGCACTTCAGCGGCCCGCCTCAGGATGCCTCTCTTACCTGCCTCACAGAGCCTCTCATGCCAGGTGAGGCCTTGGTCGAATGTCCAAGGCAGGGGACCAGGAGGCATGCGGACCACGGGACATGCAGCATCCGCACCTTGCTTAGGCTAGAGCTGGGGCAGTTTCCTGTTGTCTAGGGCTGGAAGGCTGGGCTGTGCCCCTGGGGGTTCCTTGGGGGGCAGGGGCTATATCCCATTTTACCAATGAGGACCCTGGGGTTAGGAGTTAAATATCTTACTAAGGACAACACCAAAGTTGGATTTTCTCAGTTGCTTCTCAGTCCTTCTGAAGGCCATGCCTCCCTCTGGAATCTGATGGAAGCTATGGCTCCTGTCCCCGGGAAAAGGCACTCATACAAGCTTGCATACGATTTCAGAGGACTTGCAGCCCTGCCCGGCCCCTCTCCGGCCGGCACCTCTGGTCTGCCACAACCCTCCTGGGGGAGACAAGAAGCAGCTCTGGGGCTCCCCAGGCCCTCCCCGTCCACGGGCAGACAAGACTCCCTGTGAGTAGCGACAGAGTCCCAAACCTCTGGTGGCCAGGAAGAGAAAATCCAAGTGTCCGTGAGCTTCGGCCACAAGCTGGAAAAGCCAAACGGAATTTACTCCTCCAGGCAGGATCAGGTCACCCTGCAAACACCAGCGCCCATTTCTGAACTGACCCGCACGCCTGGCGACTCCAAGGGCCTCCACCCAGGGGGAGACGGCTTCCTGCCCCACCCCGTCCTGCCATGCCCGAGCCCCCGCGCTCCTGCACCCCAGACCCTGCTCGCTAACCTCTGCCCCCTGGGAACTCCTGGGAGCACCGTGCTCCCTCCTCCAGGGGCTCCAAGCCTCCCACTTACAATTGCCTTCCTCCTTCTCAGCACGACCTGCAGAAGCACAGGGGTGGGACCTGAAGCACCAGTGAGGATAGAGTCTCTCTACCTGGAGAGTCACGTAGAACTTCTGGATCTTTCTACTGGGACAGTGGTGTCTGCCACTTAGATGTTTTAAGTCTGCAAAATGGGCCCGTCAAATCTTCTCTATCTACCCCAGGGGAAGGCTGGGAGGACCCAGTGAGGTCAAAGACACAGAGAGACTAAGGAAAGATAGAAGCTGCCAAGAAGAATTGTGATTTCTATGATTTGTGGGGTTTTTGGGATCCAGTGAGAGAAGAGTCCCCGGAGTGACCCTGAGAATCTCTGAGGTGAGCATGTCCACATGTAGGCCAGGACGGGCACTCACCCAGTGCCCCAGTGCCCCAGGCATGTCCCCTCCACACACACACACACACACGTATGCACACACGCGTGTACACACATGCAAATATACACAGGTCTAACTACTTTCCATTTCCTGTCCTCTGCACGCCGCACGGAAGGCTCTCTGCTGATTGACATGAGCACCTGTTTCCTGTAAAGTCACAACTGGGAGGCCACGGGGGCAGACACCTCCTCTGCCGGGGCCCCAGAGACAGCTCTAGGGAAAGAGAGAGAACCACCGCCCTTGCCACTCGGGACTTGGTGAGGGCCAACTGGCTACACATGCAAGAGCCACACTCCCTGCTCTCCTTGCTTGTCCATCCTGGCCCTTGCACAGCTACCCCACAACCCCCTGTCCCTGCCCTCTGGGGCCTCAGGAATTGAATGCCTCCAAGCTCAAAGGTGAGGCCCTCATTTATTCAATACACAGCTCCGAGCACCTGCTGTGTGTTAAACTTCACTGGGGTTGCTATTTATTCCCCCTGCTATTGAGAGTAGAGAGGTTCTTTAGGTAGGGAGGCTGCCTGCCAGGCTCCAAGGGGCTCACCTGTGAACCCATTCAGTCCTCAACCTGCTCGCAGGTAGGGTGCGCTGCCCCAAGGTCACACTGCTAGGAAGCAGCGGAGCCTGGCTTAAACCCAGGTCCCTTCACAAGCATGCAGGGACCGGAGTCCTGTTCTTTTTTTTTTCCCCCTTCTTTTATTAGGATTTAATTTATTCATGAGAGACACAGAGAGAGGCAGAGACACAGGCAGAGGGAGAAGCAGGCTCCCTGTGGGGAGCCCTATGTCAGGCTCCATCCCAGGACCCGGGATCACGACCTGAGCCAAAGGCAGACGCTCAACCACTGAGCCACCCAGGCGTCCCTATTAGTATATTTTAAAGAGACTCTAATTTTTTTTCTTTCCTTGTGTCAATGTTTCCCTCCTCCCAGATTTGGGCTCTGTCCTCAAGCATTCTGAGTATACACATCATTTACAGTCTCCATCAGATTATTCGGGCAGCTGAAGTTCCAGAGTCTGACACTGCCGTCCGCTGGGTCTCCTGGCGTGGTGGATCGTTTCCCTGGGGCCTCTGTAGTTTTGAGCTGTGAGCTGGCCCCAAGCAGGACTCTATCTGCAGACCACCACCTCCCCCCACCCCCGTGATTGGGGCCTGAACCTCTGAGGGGCCTGAGCCTGCTTCAGCCAGCCTCCCCACCCCGGAATTCACCTGCTTGGCTTCACAGTCATGTCAGTGTGTGGGCTCAGGAGTTCCCACGTCCAAACTTGAACCCCAAGCCAAAATTATGTGAGAGGCCCCTGGCCCCGTACTCTGAAGGGTGATTATGTTTTCATTTGTTTGGGTTTTGTTTTATCCCAGAGCCCCAGCTGAAACCCGGGCTTCCTTTCTTGTGTTTGCACATGGGGAGATTTTTCTAGTTCACTCTCAAGGGTTCTCACATTTTGCTGCTGCCTCTGCTTCCTCTGGGCCCAAAGTCTTACTTCCTTCTCCAGCCTGAGCACTTAACCCCAGGAAAACCTCAGGCGCACCTGTGAGTTTAGCAATCTAGAACATCTTTGCTTGTGGTCCACACGGTGTCTCCTACCTTGGTGTCTGCACACACGGGTCTGCATTTAAGCAACGCCTGTTAAATTCTGTGCAGTATTTTTGGTTGTCTGAAATGGAAGGGTATTCGGGCTTTCTAGCCTGTCATATTGCCAGGTCCTTTCTGATTACAATTTAAGGACAACAATCCTAAAATGCACAGGGATATGGGAATGCATCAGAAGAACAGGACTCTAGGGACGCCTCGGTGGCTCAGTGGTTGAGCACCTGCCTCTGGCTCAGGGCCTGATCCTGGGGTCCTGGGATCGAGTCCCATATCGGGCTCCCCACAGGGAGCCTGCTTCTCCCCCTACCTGCGTCTCTGCCTCTCTGTGTCTCTCATGAATAAATAAATATAATCTTTAAATAAATAAATTTACTAATGACTGGGGCAGCTCAGCCAGTTCAGTGTCTGCCTTTGGCTCAGGTCATGATCCCAGGGTCCCATGTTCAAGCCCCACATCAGGCTCTCTGCTCAGGCGGGGAGCCTGCTTCTCCCTCTATCCTTCCCTCTGATCATTCTATCTCCCTCTCTCTCAAATAAATACATAAAATCTTAAAAAAAATAAATCTATACTAATAATTGAAATTGGTAAATCTATGGACTGGTTAAAACTCAAGGCTATCTGGACTCTGCACTCAGTGGGAAGTCTACTTAAGATTCTCTCTCTCTCTCCCTCTCCTTCTGCCTCTCCCCCTGCTTCCAGGCTCTCAACAAATAAGTAAGTAAATAAGTAAATAAACAAAGTCTTTAAAAAATCAAGGTGTGGGGATGGAGACAAAGAATGGGCAGAAGGATTGGAGGAAGGTCGAAAGAGAGCAGAGGAGGAAGGGTGGAGGGCGGTAGGAGGGAGGGACCGGGGAAGAGGAGATGAGCCAAGCGTCATGGCAAGGCCGAGCATCCTAGTGCGTCAGGCAGTGTACACAGCGTACATATGCTAAGCACCACACGTGTACGCGGCCCTGGGTGGCACTGGGTGTATGGATGGTACATCACAGGCTGTTGGGTGGGTGGAGGCAGAGGGGTGGGTGGCTGAGTAGATGGAAGGCAGGGATGTGGCAGTTAGGCGGTGGGTGGGTGCGTGCATGGACAGTGGTGACAGGCAGATAGGGAGTGAGCAGGTGGTGAAGGGGGGACAGGGGATAGGTAGCAGACTGCAGACAGTCACCTGAACGAGCAGGCGGTGGGTTGATGGGTAGTTGGAGGAGCATGTGGATGCAGGAGAGGGAGATTAAGTGGTTGTGTAGACGAATGTGAGGCTGGCTAGGCTGGATGAGTAGGATGACAGAGGGATGGGAGGGTGGGTACACAGAGAGAGGGCTGGGGGGGTAACAAAGGGTGGGGGTGGGGAATAGCGAATGGCAGACTGGGCCGTTTGGGGGGAAGACAGGTGAGTGGGGAGGAGGGTGGGCAGGTGGACACGTGGTGGTGGCCGGTGGGTCAGCAGGAGTTCGGGGAGTCGATGGCGAGTACCCAGGGGATCGATGTCTAGGGAGCAAAAGGGTGGCTGCATGGGGAGACAGAGGCAGGTAAGTGGGCGCAGGGGTGAGGAATGAGTCCGCCACCGCATCTCACGCACCTGAGCTTTGGCCTTCACGGCACTGTACTCAGCCTTCATCCTCTTCTGGGCATCCTCGTCCACACTGGGGTCCCCGATCCTGTTGAACAGGGAAGCCGCCTCCTCCAGCAGCCGGTCAAGGAGCACCGCCTCGTTGCCCACGTTGTGCAGCAGCACCTGGGCGTGGCTCAGCTGCCACTGCTTCTCTTTCAGGCCCAGCTGCAGCTCCGCGGGGACCTCCAGCACCTCCAGCATCTTCTGGAACCAGCGGTAGAACTCATCCCGAGCCAGCAGATACTCGCTCCAGTGCAGCCACACCCACTCGATGCGGCTGTGGACAGAGAGCACGGGCCGTGAGCCCCCTGCCCACCTGGCCCCGGTGCCAGGGGCACAATGACACCGTCTCGGGGCCTCACAGTCACCTGGGCGGCAGTATCTGGGGGCTTGTCACCGCTCAGCAGGGCCGAAAGCTAGGGGCCCGTGAGTGGGTCCCAGAGGGGCCCGGAGCTTGCTGCATCTCCCTGCCTCCTTGCCCACCTCAGTTTCCCCATCTGTTATATGGAGATGGCCTCATCTATCCAGCCAACATCAAACCACTTTGGAATTCCAAGTGAAAGGGTTCAAAAAGCAAACAGCACCGTGCAGTCACCCCGGCTACGCAACGTTCTGGTTTTATAAAGATGGAGGGGATGTCAGCAGCTCCTGTCTGCTGCAGGCCTACTATGCCTTGCCCTTGACATTTGTTATCCTCTTCCATCTTGCTGACAGCCGCCAAGCAATGCTTGATTATACCCATTGTCCAGATGAGGAGCCTGAGGCTCAGAGAAGCCAAGTAACTTTCCCAAGACCACACAGCAAATAACCAGCAGAGCAAGAGGCAACCTCAGGTCTGTGTAACCTCCCCTCCCCCCCGGTCCCCAGGTATAGGCAGAGAATCTAGGCTAAATTGCTAGCAAGGCAAGAGCCTTTTCACTCCAGAGCCACTCTGCCATCGTGCTGGAGGATGAACACATGGGAAGTCTACTAAGACTTCATTGTTGGCAAAACACGATGGGCTCCCACCGTCCATTATCATCATTAAGCTTGATTATAATTAGAAAGAGGTGGGTGGGGCTGGCCCAAATCCCAAGAGAACATCCTGTTCCCAGCCATCCCAGGCCTGGAGAAACGTCCCTTGGGTGGAGGCCCCAGGACAGTGTGGTGGCGGACGAGGAGGGTCCGTGGCAGCTACAAAGGCCTGGCAGGGTCCCCAGCCACCCTACCTGTGACAGTGAGTCATGTAAGTGACCGTCTCCTCCCACTGGGCTTTGAGGTCCTTCAGCTGGGCCAGGATCGCGGGCTTCTGGTCCTCATGACAGCACACCAGGAGGGCTTCAGCCGCCCGCAGCACCAGGTCCACCTTCACGCGCCCCTCCGGCTCCAGCTGGCATATTTTCTGTTGTGGACACAAATACCAGTTTCCAGGAATTAGACAAAATACAAGCAGCCAGAGCTTTGGCAAGACAGTGACTTGATGGAAAGAGCCAGGACTCTGAGGCCAGAGGAGCTGGGGTTCAAATCAGAGGCCCCTGCACCTTCTCCTGTGACGGTGGGCAGTTAGCTAACGGCCCTGAGGCTGGAAGCGGGGAGCCAGGGAGATGAGCGACCACCTTCAGGGCCGTCTGATGATCTAACTCCCTTCCCTTCCCTACTTGGCCACTTCCAGCTGTGTGAACTCAGGCAAGTTTCATCATTGTCCCGGACTCGATTTTCTCATTTGTAAAATGGGATCATTCTTAGTACCTAGCTCCCAGATATTTTTTTTTTCAATATGAAATGAGAAAATGTGAGGTGTATGTCGCAGTGTAGGGGGCTGTGAGGATCTGCCTCTCGGATCTACTGTAGGGAGTGGGCTTGAGCCAGGGCCCCTCGGCTGCTCCCACCAGTGATGAGGCAAGAACACCAAGGCAGGCCTGTTCCTGTGGGGCTTTGGGCTCCTCTGATGGGTGACTGGTCCCGGAGGCCCCAAGGCCTGGCCAGACTCCCTTAGAATCACATCACAATCCCAGACACTTCCTGGTCTCCTGGATTGGGGGGGCAGACCTGCATTGGACATATCTCCCCATTCCGAACCTCATTGGGTTCCCAACCTGGTTTCTTTCATAGACATTTCCCTATCAAATGTCTTGAGCTTTTTTTTTTAAGATTTTATTTATTTATTCATAGAGACACAGAGAGAGAGAGAGAGAGGCAGAGACACAGGCAGAGGGAGAAGCAGGCTCCATGCACCGGGAGCCCGATGTGGGATTCGATCCCGGGTCTCCAGGATCGCGCCCTGGGCCAAAGGCAGGCGCTAAACTGCTGAGCCATCCGGGCTGCCCTGTCTTGAGCTTTTTTTAAAAAAAAAAAAATTTTAAATTCAATTTAATTAACACATAGTGTATTATTAGTTTCAAAGGTAGAGATCAGTGATTCATCAGTTGCATATAACAGTGTTCATTCCATCACGTGCCCTCCTTCGTGCCCATCACCCAGTTACCCCATCCCCCACCTCCCTCCCCTCCAGCAACCTTCAGTTTATTTCCCAGAATTAAGAGTCTTTATGGTTTGCCCCCTTCTCTGTTTTCATCTGATTTGATTTCTCCTTCCCCTCCCCTCTGTTCACCTGTTCTACTTCTTAAATTCCACATATGAGTGAAATCATATGGTATTTGTCTTTCTCTGATTGACTTATTTCACTTAGCATAATACACTCTAATTCCACCCAGGTCATTGTAAATGGCAAGATTTCATTGTTTCTGGTGGCTGAGTAATATTCCACTGTGTGTGTGTGTGTACACAAATATATAGACCACATCTTCTTTATCCATGCATCTGTCAGTGGACATCTAGGATCTTTCCATAGATGGAAAAACTATTGGCTATTGTGGACCTTGCTGCTATAAACATTGGGGTACAGGAGCTCCTTCAAGTCACTATGATGGTATCCCTTGGATAAATACCAATTGCTGGGTCATAGGGTAGCTCTATTTTTAACTTCGTGAGGACCCTCCACACTGTTTTCCAGGTGGCTGCACCAGTTTGCGTCCGCACCAACAGTTTAAGAGGGTTCCCCTTTGTCCACATCCTCGCCAACACCTGTTGTTCCCTGTCTTGTTAATTTTAGCCATTCTGATTGATATGAGGTTGTATCTCATTGTGGTTTTTGATTTGTATTTCCCTGATGCCCACTGATGTGGAGCATTTTTTTTTCATGTGTCTGTTGGTCATGTGTATGTCTTCTTGGGAGAGATGTCTGGTCATGTCTTCTGCCCATTTGTTGATAGGATTTTTTGTTTTTTGGGGGTGTTGAGTTTGATGAGTTGTGCTTAGGTTTTGGACATTAACCCTCTACCAGATAAGACATTTGCAAATATCTTCTCCCATTGCATAGGTTGCTTTTTAGTTTTGTGGCCTGTTTTCCTTTGCTGCACAAAAGCTTTTTATTCCTAGGTATCTTATGGCTTTCGGTGCAACTGTAAATGGGATCGATTCCTTGATTTCTCTTTCTCCTGCTTTATTGGTCAGTGTATAGAAATGCAATTGACTTCTGTGCTTTGATTTTATATTCTGCGATTTTGCTGAATTCCTATATCAAAAAAATCTACCAATTTATTTTGCTGGAGGCTTTTGGGTTTTCGACATAGAGTATCATGTCGTCTGCGAAGAATAAAAGTTTGATTTCTTCTTTGCCAGTTTGGATGCCTTTTGTTTCTTTTTGCTATCTGATGCTGAGGGCAGGACTTCCAGTACTAAAACATCTTGAGCTTTTAAACTCATCTTGGCGTTGGCCTCTTGGAGGGCCCAGACGAATACACAATGTCTGTCAAGTAGTACACCTCTGATTAACATCAGCTCTGGTCCTTATTGCCATTATTTATTTCTTTGGCAACTAAAGTATGGTCTCTGTAGTGAAAGTACAATTGGATTCCAATTCCAGAGCCTTTCCCCCGACCTGCGAGACCTTCCTCATGGTACTTAGATGCTCCGGGCCTGTGAAATGGGGGAAGAGGACACTGACACCACCCAGGGTCATGGTCACATTTCCTGATGCTGGGAGAGCCCTGGGCACATTGCCTGGCCCACGCTCCACTGTCAGCTACTGACTGTTCACTGCTAGTACTGTCTTTTCCCACCCTTGATCCCTATTTACTGAACAGCAATTTGCTGATAGCTCAAGCTCTGTTGCCCAGCCTGTCTCCCTCGGCCTGGCAGCCAGCCTTCTCAGAATGAAGTCCCAGTGGGCTGGCTGTCTCTGACTCTTCTCTGTGGATGGCACTAGGCCGGGGCCAGGTTGGGGGAGCCAGATGCTGCTTCACTGATAGCTGTGTGCCCCCAGCAGGCCCCTGGGTCGCTCTGGGTCTCCCTTTGGCACCATGAGATAGTGATAACAATTCCCACTTTGTCTACGTCATAGGGTTATACCATTAATTTTTTCAAATACAGTTACTGGGACACCTGAGTGGCTCAGGGGTTGAGCATCTGCCTTGGGCTCAGGGCATGATCCCAGGGTCCTGGGATCAAGTCCCGCATCAGGTTCCCTACAGGGAGCCTGCTTCTCCCTCTGCCTATGACTCTGCCTTTCTCTCTCTGTGTCTCTCATGAATAAATAAATTAAATATTTTTTAAAAATAGTTACTTAAAACATTGATGTGTTAGTATACTTTGTAAAAGGCTGAGCTATGATGTAGATCCTTTTCCAACATGTGCAAAGGGGCAATGGTGTCTATCCTTTTTGTTACTTCCTATGAGAATGGCCTACTGTGATGATGATGATAGAGAGGCACTTCGCCTCCTACCTGTGCCATCAAAGAGTGGCATTAAACAAGCTCCTTCCACAGGCTGCCTCTGTGGTCTAGGTGGTCGGGGGTGGGGGTTGGCAGGCAGGGAAAATGGGGAGCGGGGAGCTACCCCAAGAGGGGGAAAGAGGTTCTGTTGGCTCGTTGATCCCGGCCAAGCGTCAGGACGCAGCAGGATGCCAGAGGATCATGGCTGCAGCAAGAACCCAACAGAGATGCCAAGTCCTGCTCAGCAGCAGGCTGCAACGTAGGCGACAAAGATACTATAGTGGTTAGCGTGGACTAAAGATCTGAGGGCCACTGCGGAATGTTCTGGGCCGAGTGAGATTACCCACCCCCTGCACAGAACTTCACACCACTCAGGAGCAGGGGTCCCACAGTGAGCTCAGAATGAATTACTTGCCATCCCCTGGGATTTAATTTAAGGACCTGGTATTTCTGACTCCCAGCGTTGAGGAGCAGACGTAATGCCCACACCCCGAATTCGCAGGAAGGGTGCCACGGGAACTGCAGTTTTACAAACAGGGGTGCTGGGAAGCCACAGAAGCCTGGAGCTTTGCGGGCCAGTTCTCTGTGGAGGTTGAAGCGGCCTCTTCTATCCCTGCTGCCCAGATGAGGCCCCAGCAGAATCCAGCTCCATAAACCAGGGAGCCAAAAGCCATGGGGGAAGAAGCTAAGTTCTGTCTCTCCGTCACCCCCAGAGACAGAGACAGCCGGGCCTGGAAAGTCCCCATGAGGACTAGAGCCCCTTTCCCACATCCTGTGTGACCTCCCCTAGGCCTCTCGCCCTTTGCGTTCCTGACTCCCTGCTCAGAGGGGCGTAGGCTGGACCCCTAGGTCCCCTGCCCTTGGCAGGGAGTGCTCTGTGGCTTCCCTGCCAAAGAGAGAAGAGCCGGCCAGGCCCAAGGCAGGCGGAACACCAAGCCCCATCTGGCCCGAAGCTGACACATCTGCCCGCAAGCTGAAACATCAACCAATGGGATATTTGTCGTGGGCCCGGGACCAGGAGTTTGGAGGCCGGGCCTAAGCTTCTAAGAAGCAGATTCTGCCTTTCTTCACTACTGTTGTGATCATGCTCTTCGGTCGGTGGGAGGCTCTTTTCTAGCTGATTAGCAGCAAGATCCAGGAGTGTGTGGCAGGAGGGAATGGCCGGCTGGGAAGGGGTTCTTGAACTGCAGCCACAGAATGACCCTGATTGGAAGGAGCAGTGAGGACCAGACTGGTGGGGGTTGGAGGAGAGAAGGCCTCAGAGGAGAGAAGAACAAATAGATAAGGAAAGCTGGAGGAACGAGGTTAGTCAGGGCTTGTCCTCAATGCAGCCAAGACCAGGCAGGCGCTGTGCTGGGTACTATGCTCAGTACTACACTGAGTACTATGCGGGGCACTATGTGCAGTACTGTGCTGGATACTGAGTTGGGTACTGTGCTGGATATTATGCTGGGCATGTGCTGGGCACTGTGTTGAGTACTACGCTTGGCATTGAGTTGAGTACTATGCTGGGTCCTATGCTTTGTACTACATGGGGTACCAAGTTAAGCACTGTGCTGGGCACGGCACTAGGTGCTATACTAGGTACTATTCTCCATACTCTGCTGGGTACTGTGTTGGGCACTGGGGTCCCAGATGAACAAATAAGGCCTGATGCTTGCAGGCTGTGGTGGGGTCTACAGCTGAGAGCACAGATGACTGTCAATGAGCCACAGATACCACAAAATAATGATCGGAGCTCAATGAGGGGTGTGGGGAAACCCAAGGAGGCTCCGTGCGTAGGTGGCATTGGCACCGAGTCTTAGTGACACGCAAACATCTGTGATGGGGGCTTGAGCAGAGGCAGAGAAGCACGATGTGTTCAGGCACAGTGTGTCCAACATCTGGAAGCCAAGTTCTGGGAAATGCAGCCTGTGTCAGACCACACAGGAGCCTGGAAGGCAGCTAGGAAGCAGCCCGGCTGAGGCTAGGCCCCGAGTGCAGGGCCACGGAGGCTGGGAACCAGTGGGCAGAGAGACAGGACGCTGGGACTCGGGGGACCAGCTCCTGGAGGCTGGGCATGGGCAGGAAGGGTCGGCACACACGTGATCCTGGCATCGAAACCACCTCACCCATGGGGCTGGCTCTGCCAGGGTGCCTGCACTTTGCCAAAGGCACCAGTAAGTCATTCGACTCCAGGGTCCCTCCCTCCTGCAAAGTGACAACCAGCACCCCCACTTCCACCCCAACAAGCTGAAGCTCCCGAGGTGCCACGGCCACAGTGGGGATTCGAACCCCAGCTGGCCAGTCCTATTTCCCAGGAGCAACAATCTCTCCAGTCTCCCTTTGCAGAAGGCTTCCACCACCATGAGGGTCCTAGAGCTGCCGACACCCCTCGTGCAGAAGGCAGGGAGGGCAGGACGGCGTGGGACGTGCTCCTGGCCCCGTGGCTATGAGGCATCAGAGCTGGATTGGAACTCACATCCTGGCACTGAGGCAGACAATTACCAGGAGTGCACATCACTGAGCTGCTGGGGTGCCCCCCACCAGGCCCCAGAGAGAGGTCCCATGGACTGGGGAGGTAGGAAAGTGGTGCACCAGTTGCTCCCTTCACCAGAAGGCCGAAGCGAAATGTTTTTTTTTTCTTTTTTTTAAAGATTTTTAAATTTATTTATTCATGAGAGACAAAGAGAAAGGCAGAGACACAGGCAGAGGGAGAAGCAGCCTCCCTGTAGGGAGCCCGATGCCGGACTCGATCCCCGGTCCCCAGGATCAGGCCCTGGGCTGAAGGTGGCACTAAACCACTGAGCCACCCGGGCTGCCCAAATGTTTTCTTTCTTATTGCGAAATTGGTTTTGACATGTCAAAGCTCAGAAAATAGGACGCCTGAGCCCCGTGGGAGAGCCTGCGGGGGAGCACCCAGGACGTGACCCCTCCACCTAGGTTCCAAGTCCTAAGGACCACCCTCGCCTTGGCTTATGCCTGACCCACACCCAGGGCAACGAGCTGCCAGGGTAAGGGTGTGAGGCCCAAAGGGATTAGTTCCCAAGACACGAAGTACGCGCGCAGGGCTGCGGTGTTCCAGGACAGACATCAGGAGATGGGGCTGGGGCTAGGAGTGCTCCATTTCACAAACACGACCACACCCACGCGAACGGGCATTCCAAGTAGAGGCAACGGCACAGGCCAGAGGCTTGCTGAGAGGACCTCGAGGCTCTCTGCTAACAGGGGAAGATGGGATGGGATCAGCAGGCTGGAGAAGCCAAGGCCAGCAAACAGAGTCGTGTAGACAGTGGGAGACTCTGATGCCAGGTGGAGTTTGGTTTTTTTTCTTGGTGGGCAATGGGGAGCCATGGAAGGCTTTAGAGGAGGGGAATAACATCAATGACGTCATGGGACCCTCGTGTGGCGTGGATTATGTGCATACCTGTCCCCTTCTATGCGGTGAGCCCCTGAGTAAGGCGCCCTTCACCTGCCTCCCTGCTCCAGGTGCCCGCACATGGATGGCCAGTGACACTCCAGACTCAACCCTGGGTTCAGGCCCTGACAAGATCAATTTCTTTTCCTTTCTTTTTTTTTAAGATTTTATATATTTATTCACGAGAGACCCAGAGAGAGAGGCAGAGACACGGGCAGAGGGGAGCCCGATGTGGGACTCGATCCCAGGACCCGGGGATCACACCCTGAGCCAAAGGCAGATGCTCCCTCGCTGAGCCATTCCAGTGCCCCCAAGATCAATTTCTGGAGTTTTGGCTCATCGCTGTGTCTCAGAACCACATTTTATTATTGAAAATTTGGGACAATAAAACCACATTCACCAGGCTTTTGTAAAATTAAACATGAAATAGCGCGGCCCCAAGCACAGAACAGGTGTTGAATGAGTGTCAGGTCCCCACTCCCAGTGATCCGGGAGGACTCATTGTTTGATAAATGCCTGCTGGTGACAATAACAGTGCTGATGGTGATAAAGGCCAAGTCTGACAAGGGAAGGGGCTTTGGGTTGCCAACTCCTCTCCCCACTCCAGGCTCGCCCGTCCCTTCAATCCCTGCCATCCAAGTTTCCAATCCACCATTCCCCTGTTGCAGAAGAGATGTCCAAGCTCCCAGGTTCGCTGTTCCAAGCTGTCACCCTCTGAGCCCTGACCACCCCTCTGGCCCTGTCCCCTGCTTCCGCCTGATGGCTGGTGCTCCCCTATAGCCTTGTTGATGTTCTGAGCATATGCTACAGACTGTGCCCACCTCTGGGCCTTTCCTACACAATTGTCCCTGCCTGGAGCTCCCTCCTCACCCCCCTCACCCCTGCATCCCCCAAGCTGATTACCTCCTCTATGTTTGAGCTTCAACAGCAAAGTCACTTGTCCCCAGAGGCCTCCCTTGATCAGGCTGGGGGACGTAACCTCACTTGGGCTTTCCAAGAGCCCTGGGTTCTCTGCTCACTTCACTGTCCAACTGGGAAGCCTATGACCATGACACTTTTACGTGGCCATGATGGTCACTTGGTGGGGGCGGGGGGGGGCGTTTACCAGGCCCATCAAGCACCTGGTCTTGGTTGCCATAGAAGGACATGTGGCTCAGGATGGCAAGGACTCAGATGGCGCTACACCAGGAGGCAGGCAACGTAAGCCATGGAGAGAGGCAGGCCCCTCCACACCTACCTCACAGGAAGAGCAGGGCTGTATTTAATTAAGGTGTGTGGCAAGGGGCTGCGCCGGGAGCAACCTGAGGGCAGGGACCAGGGATGAATCTATCACCTGGTGGTCCTGCGGCCACAGTTTGACACCTGACACAGGGGAGGCTAGTGAAAAAATGTGACTCAAAGTGGCAGGTCTCTGGTCCACCAGAGCCAGGCCAATGAAGGCATGAGAAGCACCATTCTGAGATACTTAGCCCTATCCCTTTCTAGAAAGGAAGCAAACTGAGGCCCAGTAGGGTCAAATGACTTGCAGGGGCTCACACAGCCAGCAAGAAGAGAGCTGGGAGTTGAACCCAAGATGTCCAGACTCCAAAGTCTGTCCTCTCTCAAGTCCAGTGAGCTGTTCTATCAAACAGAACACCCAAGAAACTAGAATGCCCTGCTCTCTGCCCTGCCAGGCATGGTTTTATTGTGAATACCCCGTCTCTGATCATCTGAGAAGCACATGACGCTGCAGGGAAGCAGAAAGCTCATCTGACAAGGACTCAGAAGATTCAAATTCCAGGATGGAATATCCCATCCAGAGACCTTTCCACCTTCGACAAGTCACATGACCTGAGACCCATTTTCCCCATATGGAAATACACGGACAATGGCTCCTCCTTCACGATGTTGTGTTGAACCTCAAATGATGAGCCCTACCAATGTGATATAAATGTCTTAATTTTGAGTGTCCATTTCTAAAAAAGAGCGTTAGATATTTTCAGTAAGAGGCACAAAAGAAAGAAAGCAAACAGTGTGGGGTCAGCCCCATTTCTAGCCTGGTCGGGAGACCAGTTTGTGTAGGAAAAGGTTAGCCTCCCTCAAAAGTGACCATGGTGATGTGACAAGTTAGAATTGTGCAATATCCCAGTGGATGTGACCCAAGAGACGCCTATGTCATGGCTTTGCTTATAGATCGGAAAGTGAGGCCCAGAGAGGGACGGGGACTTGCCAAAGGCCACAGAGCACTTTAGCATCGGCATGGACACTATGACCTAGGTCTCTGATTCATTCATTCATTCTTCCCCTTGGCCCCGAGCCTGGAGCAGATGCTGTCGGATGGGGGCACCATAATACCAGGCCAGGCACTGGGCACCAGCACTTCCAACAGGTGTGTAGCCCCACACGCTCTGAGCCCTGCTTGGGGAAGCTGGGGGGTCACTTCCAACTGGATAGAGCCCCTTCTGCACCTTCCTGAAGGCCGATCTGGGCCCACCGAGACCTGGCAGGGACCTGAGGCCCAGGGAAGCAGGGGAGCTGCAGGGCGCCAGGCCTGGCCCACCTGGGCTGGCTGGGGGCCCACCTAGCCACACGGTGCTTCTGCTGGGACAGGAGAACCAGAGGGCACCTGGCAGCATACGGTCCCAGGACCAACAGCGACGCCTCACCCGGAGCAGGTTAGCAATGCCGTGGGTGGCATCCACTGTGACCTTCTAGATCAGAACCCGCCCTCAAACCCAAATCCCCAGAAGATTCAAACACATCAAAGTTTGAGAGAGTCAAGTCCACCCTGCCATTTAACAGCCCAGGAAGGTGGGGCCCGAGAGGGAGGGACGTGGCCAAGGCCATGGGGCTATGGAGGCCACGGCCTCTACCTACCTCGGTCTCCCGCAGCCTGGCCTCCAGGGCCGCCCGGGGCCCCTGGGTGTTGTCGTTGACCTGCAGCCGATCCTGCACAGCCCTCATCCACTCCCAGGCGTCCTCCACGCTCCTGTCGAAGCTCTCCTGGGCCAGCTGAGTCATGGCACCTGCAGGGGTTGAAGACAAGACCACATGAGATCAGGCCGGCGGGGCAGGGGTAGGGCAGCGGGGGTGGGGGACCGATGCTGGGGACAGCTGCACATCTGAGGAGGATGCACGGCGGCAATTGTGTGTGTCAAAAGGCCAAAGGACCAGGGAGGAAAGCAGGCCTCTGCTGTGGCCAAGCAGGGAGAGGGGGCCCAGGGCACCGGGCTGGCGAAGATTCTCTCGGGCCTCTCAGCTTCCCTGGCCCCCCTCACCCTACCTTGGGACTCAGGGCCAACCCTCTTCGGTCTCTGCGGGTTGGCGCCCCTCCAAAAGAGAATCCCCAAACACATGTGGTCTGAGATGGCCACGGCATAATGAATCACGATCTGCATGGACCCAGAAGCCTCAACCTAAGAAACGATTTTTGGCATCGACCAAGCTGACGCCGGCCCCGGAAACTCACCGGAATAAAAAGGTCCCAGGGCCAGGGCCAACCATGTAGCCAGGTGTCTTGTTGCTAGTTTGCCACCAGCTTGGGTCCACCGCAGACCATCACTGGTGTTTTTCCACCGAGCCACACACCACCTGGCTTGTGGCAGCCACGGACAACCAACTGACCTTACGCTTGAGATGAGCCCCACCTGCTCTGGCGTTTTAGGGGCCACCTGCCTGCCAGCATGGACCCCCCCCCCCCAGGTAAACCAGCCCTCCACGACGCTGCCCTCTGCTCCCTGACCCTCACCTTTTAGCTGCAGACACAGAAGCTCAGATTTTCGCACTTAACTTTCTTGGAGTCCCATGAAGCCCAGGCAAAACCATTCTGTACTCCAGTTCTAGCTGTCTGCTTATGGCAACTATAACCTGCTTTGGATTAAAGTTATTTATATCCGCATCTTGGGTGAAGGGATTGTGTGTAGCTTATCCCCAACCTCCCACAACGCCTTGCACAGAGGAAGCGCTCTGTAGATGTCGAAACAGCCCGGAATTGGTATAAAGTTTAATGCACCATGGAAAACAGAGCAAAACGAGAAATACGCACACGCCCAACAGTGGGGGGGGATTAGGTAAGGAAAGTAAGGCACACTGCATTTCAGGATATCAAGCGGCCCACAAAAAGTACATTGAAAATCAATCGATGGGATCCCTGGGTGGCGCAGCGGTTTGGCGCCTGCCTTTGGCCCAGGGCGCGATCCTGGAGACCCGGGATCGAATCCCACATCAGGCTCCCGGTGCATGGAGCCTGCTTCTCCCTCTGCCTGTGTCTCTGCCTCTCTCTCTCTCTCTGTGACTATCATAAATAAATAAAAATTAAAAAAAGAAAATGAATCGATGACGGGGAATTCTTACAACACGATGATACCCAAAAACTAGGCAAAACTGTATATTTAGTAGGTACGACTCTACAACTAATAAAAGCAAACAAAACCACAAGCAACTGCGTTCATGGGAAGAGGTCAGGCAGTCCTGCCATGACGTGTCCCCGTGACTTAACTAGAGCAGAGGGGGGTGTGGGCTGAAGTGGCTCGAGCCGGGGCCCATGTGACCTCAGGCCTCTCTTTTCCTGGCAGAGTGTCCTTGGAGGCCAGTTGGTCAAAGGTGATTCGACTGTGGATGGTGGAAACCTGCAGCTGGGGGTTTTTGTTTCCTTGTTTTTCCACAGATGCTTTGTGATTTTTCTAGAGAGCAAGCATCACTTTACAAAGAAAAATTAAAAGCAACAACAAACAAACCCAGTTTCTTCACATGGTTGAACTGTGCGCCGGCCCTTCCTTCTGGTTCAGCAGCTGGTCGCTCAACAAGCATTGATTGAGAAACTGAGACTCTGAGCACCCCCGCCAGGTGGGCGCCGGGCTAGGCCTTCCAGGCTGGAGGATGCTATCCACGCGCGGGGGTGGGATCCGGGGCTGCAGTTCAGAGCTCAGTGGCCGGTCCTGTTTTCCTTTCAGAGCTGTTTTGATTTTTTTTTTCCTAACAGTTTAATATGTTCCCTGAAGCCACTCCCTGTCTTTGAAAGCTTCGTTTGTAAAGCACATTAGGATGCGCGGGCGGTTAAATTGGTTCATTGTGTCTTTAATCTCTTGTCTAGCTTGGGACTTGATTGGCTTCCAAAAGCTCAGCTTTTACGTAACTTTACAAAGCAAAAGGAATGGGAGGGGCAGAAAGGAGTCTCCCCATGCCTCTGATGGCAGGACAGCCTTAATCACAACAGCAGGGAGGCCTGGGAGGGCCCTTCAGGCTGGAAACGTCCAAGGCCTGTGAGCTTGCAGGTGGCGTTCAAGACACCGGGGCCTCTTGGCCTGTTTTGCCAACCGTTTTGTTCCCATTCAGAGTCCTGCACAGGAATGAAGCACGTGCTCCCAGCCAGGCCTGCCTGCAGAGGCCCACGGGGGAAAGGCTGTGCACTGAACGCATGTGTGGGCAGCAGGTGGATGAGCTGCAGGCCAGGGTGCGGGTTTTGAGGCATGTGGGACCGCTCTTGCACTTCTGTGGGTTCTTTCTCTGAGCAGAGGCTTGAAATGCCAACCATAAAATGCAAAGAATTACAAAGGAAATCAATCATATTAAAACACAGTTATCGGGAGGCCAGGGTGCCTTGGTTGGTTGAGCATCCCACTCTTGGTCTCGGCTCAGGTCATGATCCCAGGGTCCTGGGATCGAGCCCTGGGTTGCGCTCCAAGCTCAGAGGGGAGCTTGCTTGGGATTCTGTCTCCCTCCTGCTCTGCCCCTTCCCCGCCCGCCCCCAGCTCACTCTCTAAATAAATAAATAAAATCTTTTTAAAAACTCATAGTTATCAAAAGACTAAATTAATGAGATAAAGCACACGCTTTTTTATTAACACACTAAATCAAAAGAGCTAAGAGTGGGGTTTATTACTACCCTAATTTTGAAGTAGTGATGGGGAGGGACAACATTTCAAGGTATCTCCAACTGCAATGCAGCATCAAAGCGTATGTGACAACGTTACCCGAGCTGGTCACGCGAGAGGGGGCTTTGCTTTGGTTCTGCCCCCGGCACGATGGCAGGAACTGCTCACAGGTAGAGGTTCGCAGCAGTAAGACTAAGGTCTTCACCCCTAAATTCCATCTCTCCGTCCCCAGATCTTGGGGCGGGGGGGGGGGCGGTTGGGGATTTCTGCTCTATGCCTTCTCACAGCCAGGAGGAAGGAGAGCCTATTTTGTTCCACAGGGTGGAAAATTTTCAGCTAAAAACCAAATGGGCAGGAGAAAAGCCAAGCCCATCCACAATTGATTTAAGGAGCAGGACTGCTGGTCCTTGTAAGCATCCCTCAATTGAGTTTACTGGGAGCCTCGTGGACTTCCCCGAGTGGAAGCCAGGGGCAGAGGTACAGCCCTGGGTTGGGGATGGGGGGACAGACCACGTGAGCTTTGAGAAACAGCCTAGGAGGGCCTTCCTGTCACCTGGCCTGGAGCAGGTGGGATAAGTGGAAGGCTCCTGCACTGGGGAGGGGGCGGGGGGGGTGAGGCTGGAGCGTGGGAACAGGCAGATGGTGACCAGGGGACTCTGGACAGGGGTTGGGGTGGCAAGGGCCAGATCAGAGCCTTCAGAGCCACGTCCAGGAGGCGGGGCTGGCCTCTGGGGACAAGAGCCAGTGAGGGCTCAAGTCGAGGGAGGGCATGACTATCTCTGAGCTTCCAGCAGGTGCCCCTGACCAGGGAGGGTAGAGAGGGGCAGCACCCACGGGGGTGGGGGGGGGCAGCTGCAGGAGGCCACGGACTGGGAAGGAAGGCTGTGCGAGTGAGCATGGTGGTACGCATGCCTCTCCGGAGGAGCACCAGCATCCTTGGCAAGTTTGTTTGTCCTTCTTGGATTGGTTGAATGGACATAGTATTAAAAAGGGGACTATGTATTTTCCAAACTATTTGGAAGAGAAGAAAGAAAGAAAGAGTACTCAGGGCTTAAAAAAAAAAAGTTTCCATTTCCAAGTCCAAGCAGCAGCCCTGGGGTGCGGCTGCAGGTGGCAGGAAGCTGGGCCTCCAGGAGTGGGTCTGGGCTATTCTGAGGCGTCGGTGACAGGGCCGGGCAGGAGGACGAGGCCCTCTGCAGCTCGGGCTGCTACTGGTCTACCGGAGGGGAGAGAGACACAGCCAAACTGCCCCAGTTTCCAGCGTCCTGTTGTCACAAATGACAGTGGGGAAGGACAGGATATTTTTGCCTTGACAACAGACGAGCCAAGCCAGGGCACAGAATAAAGCCAAGTTGGGTCACATCACGTGTTCAGAGGGAACCTGGGTCAAGAGCCAGAGGTGTGCAAGACCCACATGCTAGCAGGAGGCTGGTGAGACTGGTAGGCTTCCTCCAGATCACAAGGGGAGAGCTTAACCAGAGCCTGAGGGGGAAAGTTCAGGAAAAAATGGGGGCAGAAGCATGGTCAGTACATGTGCTGTGTGCAGAAAGTGCTGGAAACATGATGTAGCCTAAAGGGAAGAGAAGGGCACCAACAGGGCTGCCATAATAAAGGGCCTACACTGTGCTAGGCTTGGCCTTGAGTCCTCTGACTCAGGCACCCCTGACCTGCGAGGGAGGTGACATAGGGGGCCACTGAGTAGAAGTGGGGCTCCCCCTCGTGCTGTGTGCTGCGGCTTCACGGCGGGGGGAGCTCACCCAGCCTCCTCCTCTCCGCCTGTGCCTTCCTCTTAGAAGGTAGGGGGGACTCATCAGGAAGGCAGGTGTTCAGAGGCCGGGGTGTCCCCACCTTCTCCACTATACTGGAGGGACGAAGGGCTGGGAGCTGCTGGGCAGCAGGAGCTGGGTATCGCCGGACGCTGACTGCCCACCGGGGCTCAAAACCCTGTCTCCTGAAGGCTCAGTGAGCACAGGGTGAGCACAGGCCCCTCCGTCCCCATCCCTTCTCCTCCCAGGATGCTGCAGAGCTGAAGCCGGAGGGTGGGGTGAGGGGCCACCTGTAAGGGGCAGACACCATAAGGACCAGGCGGGGGCAGTCCCCTGCTTCAATCCCACATTCTCTGGGAATGCGCCAACACTCCAACTCAGCTCGCCCTTTGGTGATCTGGGTGCTGTAAGCATCCTTTTAGGACCTAGCCAGAGGGAGGGCCACAGTCAGGGCCACAGAGTGGCAGTTACGTGGCTGGCCACTATTGGTACCAATTTACAAAGACGGAGACAGGCTCAGAAAGGCAAAAAGGCCTGCCAAAAGCGGTGGATGCAGGATCAAGGATAATAATCGTGATAACCAACAAGTGTCTGGCATTCTGTGTGCCTGACTCTGGGATGAAGGACTTAGAGCTATTAGCTCATTTATCCCACAAGGCCCCAGTGAGAGACTTGTTATTACCCCTCCATTATTGCTGAGAAAATTGGGGATCAGTGATACTAAGAACACTGCCCAAAGCCAGAGGGATGTAGCAGAATGGGCAGGATTTGAATTCAGGACAGAGTCCAAATTTGCTCTTAGACACCATGGCTCTATGCAGCTTCCACGCCCTTGCCTGCGTACCCCCACCCCCCGAGGGTTGCCCATGCAGCCCAGGGAGCCTGGGGCGGCCAGCCCTCGGCAGATCCTCTGTGATGAACATCTAAGTTCCAGGGTAAATCTGGGCCTCTGCTCAGAAAGCTGGTCCCTGCTGCCACGCAGCCTGTCATGCAGCGCCTGGTCACTGGCATTTGTTCTGGGACCCAGAAGGCTTCAGGATGCAGACCTGAGTAAACCCGGGCCCCGATGGCAGGCTCTACGGGCAGTGACAGCCCAGTGTGCCTGTTCCGCCAGCCTGGCCAGGGGCCCCCGCCACGCACTGACCCAGAGCCCGGGGAATGGGATGCGCTCCCCTTCGGTGACTCATCCCTGCCCTGCCACAGTTTCCACCGACTCATTCCCACTGCTCTCACGCACGCGGATGGAATTTCAGGAACTGAGCATGCAGCTGGGTTTAATCCCAAAGCTTATTCCGAGTGGATTCTGGGAACGCGCTCTTTTGTTCACGGAGGGCAGACGATGATGTGGCGAGGCCACCGTTCGGAGCACCAGGATGCTCCTGGGGGATCCTCTCTCGCGTGGCATGAGGAGAAGGTG